AATAAATTCGACACTTCGGGTCAACATTTTAACATTGGCGATAAATATCAAAATCTAAGACTATATACCGATCAGAGTACACCCGTGGATTTTGAGTCATATTTACCCTGGCAGAATAATCGAAAGGAATTACATTCTAAAGAAAAATCCGATGAAAACCGACCCGCAGATTTTGAGTCTTATTTACCGAGACATGGTGGTAATGAAGAGGACTTGAAATCTTTGAAGCCCAAAGGAGGACCAGATGAAATTGATGGATTCTCCAGGTCTCCAAATTCGGTTAAGGCCTTACCTGACCTTCACTCCTTTGAGGAACCCCAATGCTTCGAAGAGAAACAAATCAATCCTTCAAAGGTACAATTTTCTGCAAATGATGGAGAGGAAGAGGGTGAAGAAAAATTCACCCTGAACCATCGGAGACCCACCGAATACCCTGGCTATGAAATGGAGGCATTTGAAGCGGAATTTAAAGAGACTCCTAGGCCAAATACCAATTACTCCTCCATTAAGGCCTTTTTGTTATCGGAAATGTCAAGGGACGAATCCGATTCGGAAGATGAGGGTCTAAAAGAAAATTCTCAACAGCAATCGGTGAGATTTAATGCCGATCGAAATGAGAGCGTAGAGAAATTTACGCTCAACCAGGGAAGAAGGCCAACAGAATTTCAGAGAGAGGGGAGAGCTTTTGAAGAGAATGACTTCGAAGAGAGTGGAGAGCGAGGGTGGTGAGCATTCGACTGTGAGATTTGCTTCAGATTCTCTCAGTCGGGATGATGAGGAAAAATTTACGCTGAATCAAAGGAGACCCACGGCATTCCAGAGAGAAGAGAGAGCTTTCGAAGAGAGTGATTTTGAAGGGGGAGAGGGTGCTGAGCATCCGACTGTGAGATTTGCCTCGGATTCTCTCAACCAGAATGGTGAAGAGAAATTTACATTGAATCAAAGGAGGCCCACGGCATTCCAGAGAGAAATATTACCCAATGAAGAGAGCGCTTTCGAAGAGAGTACTACTGTGAGATTTGCGGCCTCCTCTCTCAGCCAGAATGATGAGGAGAAATTCACCCTGAATCAAAGGAGACCAACAGCATTCCAGAGAGAAATATTACCCGATCAAGAGAGTGCTTCCGAAGAGAGTACTACTGTCCGATTTGATACCTCCTCTCTCAGCCAGAATGATGAGGAGAAATTCACGCTCAATCAAAGGAGGCCCACGGCATTCCAGAGAGAAATATTACCCGATCAAGAGAGTGATTTCGAAGAGAGTACTTCGGTGAGATTTGATGCCTCCCCTCTCAGCCAGAATGATGAGGAGAAATTCACGCTCAATCAAAGGAGGCCCACGGCATTCCAAAGAGAAGAGAGAGCTTTCGAAGAGAGAGGCTATGAAGAGCACAGCACTGTGAGATTCGCTGCCTCTTCTCTCAGCCAAAATAATGAGGAGAAATTCACTCTCAATCAAAGAAGACCCACAGCCTTCCGAAGAGAGCTACCATCCGATCCAGAGAATCGGTATGAGGAGGACGAGGAGGTATTTCTTCAAGAAGCCAATGAGTCTCATGTCAGATTTGAAAGTCAGTCCACACTCGAAGAGAAATTCACATTGAATCAAAGGCGGCCCACGGCCTATGTTCCTGCCGGCTCGGAAATAAATCGGGAAAAATTAGTAAATTTTGAAAATTCGGAATATGCCACAAAAATTATCTTAAATCAAAGTAGGGGTACCGCATATAACTTCGAGCAAGAAAATTGGCAGCAGGTCGTAGATACCGCTAAACCAAACATGCTACGATTTGAATATGCTCCCGAAGTGGAAGAAGATGATGAGAACCACAAGAAATATCCGGTAACCCCCACAGCAGATCTGGATGGAATTAAGTTCGTTTCGAACCTGGAGAAGGAGAGAGGATCCTCCGCCGGTCCATCTAAGGTCACATTTAATTTAAATGAAGATTACGAACCCTTTGAGGTGGTCAATGAAAAATTCACCCTCAATCAAAGAAGGCCCACGGCATTTAATCGGCCAATCGAAGATGGTTTTGAGGAGGAGGTAACAAGTTTTATTGCCCCGGAAGAAGAGGGTACCTTCAAATATTCCACAACAAAATTAGAAAATAATCACCCTTCCGACCTCATCTGGCAAGAATTGGAAAAGGATATTGAAAAAGATTTTGCCCAAAATATCGAAGAAGAATTCAACCGCATCCGACAATCGTTGGAACTGAATGAGACCGGATTTTTGGAACTCAAAGATGATTTACAGCTGCTCAATTCCCCCATTGCCATGGAGGCCACCCCCATAGCTCGCAACAATTTTGGTAATGGTTATGGTAAATCGATTGAGGAGGATTGGGAAAATTTTGAAAAATTAAAATCCGCAGATGAAGCCATACAAATAACCTATAACCAACAACAACAAACGACAAATGAAAACGGCTATACAACAACAACCACAACTGTTTCAATACTCAAAGAAACCAAGGCAGATGGTTCGCCACCCACAGCAAAGCCCAGGAAAAGTAAGGTGACCTTCGACTCTAAAACCGAGGAGCATTATATACCAGCCCGGAGATCGGTGTCCGATGAAGATGATGACAGTGAGGAGGATAATGAATACTATGAAACATCTCTGGCACCCATACCCTCACAAAGATTTCAAAATTCCGCTGCAGATGATTTCAATCCAATTGTTCTGACCTCCCCAAAAACCATATCCCTATTCGGTTCTCTAACAAATGAAAACGAAGTGGAAGATAGTTGGTCAGCCATACGCAAACATCGTTATATGACGGAACAATTTCAGGAGCTGACATTGAATTCATCATCGCCACCGCCACCTTCCTATCCTCCACCACCATTGCCAATTGAAGACGAGGATGATGATGGAGGAGGAGGAAATGGTAGTTCAAAAACCAAAACCAGCCTATCGCAATCCCATGGCCTTATTGGCCGCCCAGCGAGCCAAAGAAGCCCGTTCGGATTTGGCCGACTTCAAAGGACGTTCCATTAAAAATGCCAAAAAGCGAAGTAGTCAGGAATTTGTCAATTTAAATTCGGATGATTTTGATGATACGGAAGCTTAGCGAGTTTTTTCTTTTTGTTTAGAATATAAGTTCGGAATAAAAATATAATTAATGTAAATTAATTTAATAAATAAAAATCAGAATAAAAACATCTGGAGCACCAGAACTTTAAATAATCGTTTGGTAGGTGGTCCGGAACAAGGTTGGCATCTTTTCTTTGGACATTTTTTTAAAATATTTTTAGGACCTCCCGCACGGGACATCCACAATAGGCCTGGATTTTTTAAAAATATATTTTGAGAACCTTCAGGATAGACGTGGATTTTTTAAAAATATTTTTAGGACATTCCGGATAGGCGTGGATTATTATAAAAATATTTTTTTGAGGTCCACCCCTTGGCTACACTCAATTGTGGACACGGACCTCCTGTCACCCCGTCGATAAGATGGATGATTCATCAGTAACAGTATCCCTTCAAAGAAGGAGAAAACTGTTGTGGCCGCGAGCAAATCGAGATGTAAAGAGGTCATAAAAAAAGACATGCGGATTTATGGTTAACAGGAAAATTCTACCAACGTAGATAAAACATATTCCAAAAAGAGAAGTTCCGAAGGCTTTGGTGCAGGCTTACAACTCCTCCTGTAGAGATGAAATCCCAGGATATACCCATTCTGGTCTCTAATGACAGATACAGACAGCGTGTTGGTCCACTAGGTGCTGTCCTTCTCCTACTAAAGGTCCACTACGAACGTTGCGTCACGAATTAATTCGTACGTCACCCTCTAATTGTCACTGTTCGTCCACCTTGTCCTCCACCTATCAACAACACAGTCCCAAAGGATAGTGCTGTACCGCCTACTCTCCCCACCCACCAAATCAGAAGGCCTGAGCCAATCATCCTCATCCAACTGCAAGCCACGCTTAAGCTTATACATGATAGCCCTACATCTCACTTCAAGATCAAGCGGCGCGGCGCCAAGCAGCACTTGCAACGCCTCTGTGGAAACAGTGCGACACACTGGCAATCATGCTAACATGACGACCCGCTGACACGAAAGGAGCTTCTTCTGCCCAGGCTGTTCTGTACCATATAGGTGCACCATAAGTTACGCAGGCAACAAAAAGCCCACCATATATGATACGCACAGAACGCCTACTCAAGCCCCAATCAGTCCGCAAAACACGCCGGATGGTCCCAACGACCGTTGTCAGCTTCTCCTTCAACCGATCGAAGTGTGGTAGAAAATTTAAACGCTCTGACACCGTTATCCCGAGATGTTTGACAGTACACAAATACCTTATGCCGCGTTCACCAGCTCGAATGCAGGGAGGATGGCTGCGTGTCCACCTGCCTTTCAGCAGGAGGTAGCTAACGTCTTCTCGGTAGCCACCACCACTCTAACTCGGTCATTATGCACAATCTGCATAGCTTGCTTACCACGCTTTTCCAGTTCAAGGCGACTATCCCCTTCAATCATGATGAGCAAGTCATCCGCATATGCACAGGCCTTGAAGGATGCAGTTAGCTCCCGCTACAGAGGATCCATCATAAGATTCCATATACATGGACCGCAAATGGAACTCTGTGGGCAACCACACTGCACATCCCACCAGACCGAAGTACTGGCTGCCACGACACAAGCCTTCCTATCCCGGAAATAAATTGCCCAAAGAGCGATCTCCCTACACCCGACCTCTGACAACCTTGTGAGCACGCTATCCCATAAAAGGAAGTCAAATTCGCCTTTAAAATCCACAAATATGCAAAGGACATATATGGAATATGACCCGCTCAGGCTATCTTGCACATGCCGCCACACTGTAGCAATTCCTAAGCCGTGCCATCATAATCCTCTCTAGTACTTTTCCAAGCACTGGACAGAAGACTTATGCCCAAGGTATATGGAAGATCTCTTCTATAGATAGAAGAAGGTCTCTCCTTTCTAGCCTTATTTCTAAAATTTTTGTTGTTCACTTACCTATGCAATTTAGCCAATGGAAAATGCAGACACAGCTTCTGATGAAATTCTGTAAATTCTTTATATGAACGAAACAGATGTGTAGGATCCTTTTGACCGTGGCGGGTTACTTGCAGTATATAGGTATAATATTTTTCCATATCGTAGTGTTTTTGACAGCGGACAACCATGACACTTTTTAAGCGGCCATCCTGCTGCATTCTGTAGAGAAAAATAAATATATTTTTATATAAAAAATTATGAAAACTTCGTTCCCCACACTTACGTATATTTCCTAGGAACAAAAGAGAGTAGCTCTCCGTTACCCTCATCATTGCTAAACCGCATTTGTGCTAAATTGTGCAAAAAGAAATTGAATTGGGTGAACCAACTTTTCAGTGAAAATTGTATCATTTTGGCAAATGAGGCTGCTGCCTCAGGGTTCGATTGGGAGGGTAATAGAGCTTTGCGTACATAGGTAACAGCATCCGCGGTTACACCCGGTATACCGGCAGTGGCCATCAGAGCCAGCATATGTAACAGCAGATCTCCGTGTTTGCGTATAATATTAAAGGCACGACAACACAAGTCCACAAAATGATGGAAATCTGTTGAGGATTTATCACCGTTATTAATGACATAGGCCATGTCCGAGGTAAGAACAAAGGGCGTGCGGTCTCTGTAAGAAAAGTGAAAATATAATTAATCCTCCAGCCTAGAGAATAAAGTGGTTTCTATGTCTTACCTCTTGAAATTGCCAAACATTTGGGCATCACCCAAAAATTTACCAAAATCGATGTGAAACAAATGACCGGAAGTTTTCAGCATAATATTGTCATTATGTCTATCACAAATGCCCAAAATATAGGTGGCTACACAATAGCCAGCACAGGATGCTTTAAAAAGAGAAACCCCATTTAATTTTTAAAAATATTTTAAATTCGAATTTCAAAACCCTACCCGTAAAATTCTTCACAGCCCTTTGATATTCCAATTGACTGGGATTTTGTTTGGCCAGCCATTCGGCAATGGGTCGATCTTTAAATGAACCCGTTAAACCATATTCCACCTGGATTTTCCTTAGCGTCTCGGCATCGGATACCATTTCAATCATACCCTTTTTATAGCCGGTGGGTACACATTTAAAGGTGACAATTTGCAGATCCAAACCATCAGCCAGCCACATTTTATTCATGGCACGGATCAGTTGAATGGTCAGCATATCCTGCTGCAGATCATCGCCAGACTAAAAGAACGAGAAAGAAGGACTCAATTAAAAAAATACAAATTTTGTATTAGAAAAAACCCACCTTAAAGATGGCCGGTAACGGCTCCGCATCGGGTCCGACAAAGGAGATTTTCAACGGCAAGGTGTTGGAGTTAAAGTAGCTGCAATTGCGTACATTTACCCCGCTAACTTCCAGCTCTGGACCCAAAGGCAATGAGGTATGTTTATCCAATAGCTCCTGATTCAATTCATCCATGCCGGCACACAAGAACTTTTGGCGTAAAGCTTCTCGGGCCTCCTTGACATTTTCGGCAATGTTGGCAAGGTTCTGGAAGAAGAAAAAAAGAGAGGAAGGAGGTAATCGGAAGAGAACAAAAAATAAGAAAAAAATAAATATATTTAAAAAATCCCAAACCTGACTTCTTGAATATAATTAAAAAAAATCTGGACAATGCCGGACTTCTTAAAAATATTTTTAAAAAATCCCTACCAATTGCAGAGCTCACGATCCTTAAAAATTGCAATTCAAACTTACCCTACACATAAGATTCTGCAGCAGGAACCTCTCCGACAATTTTTCCCCACAAATGGCCAGCAGAGCTCGCAACATCATTTTATTGCGACGATGATATCGGGCCTGTGTCACCAGCGACTCATCAATTTCTGCCGCACTGGCCGATGAGGAGTCAATGGAATTTTGTGGATCATCACCGGGTAAACTGTGTACCAACAACCAATACATATGATGGGCAATGCGAGGCGATTCTAATGATTTACACAGCAGGAAACGAGCCATGGCCGATGCCTCATAGGTATCATGTTTTAGAGCCTGTATTAGCTGAGGCAAATAATCCACCAACTGATCATTGGACAGCTTCGATATCCATTCTACGGCTTTTTGCCGTACCTTGGCATCGGGGTAGCGTGGTAATAGTAGTTCCAAGGCTTGTAGAGGTGATAGTGGGGACCATGAATAGAGTAGCGAATGTAAATCCATGAGGCTGGCATAATCCCAACTGTGGGCCGCGTGTAAAACCTTGGGCAGGGCGTGAGGATAATTTTGCAGATACAAACGTTTCTCCCAGAATACCTCACGTTTATCACTGGCTCCCGGATAACCCTGTTCGGCGGTATCCAATAGCTCTTGTTGTAAATTTGTGTCCAAGGAATTGAAATCGTATCTGAAATGTGAAAGAGGGAATTTTAAATTTGTCCTCTAATGGTATGGGAGAGGGGCTGCAGAACCCACCTTGGTGCCGGTGCTGGATTTTCCAAAGGTTCAGGGAATTGTATTCTACCACCATATGGTGGTATTTCAATACTCAAAACCGGACAATAATCTGGATGAGGATGACAACCCTTGGCTGGAGCTGGACCCAGAAATTTATCAGCCGTTGCTGGCCACATGGAGAGTAGATATGGACCACATATCATTTCACGTTTATAATCGAACAATTGTATTGCACACCAACCCAATTCGGTGGTCACCTGACGTTTCTCATCATTTTCATTATTCGTATTGGGTTCATTCTCCGCCAACTGGGTACCATAGAGAACGAATATCAGACGAGACTCTCGGGGTAAAGTACAAATGGGATTTTTATCAAATGTCAGCCATGAGGAGAAATTTAAACGGGCAAAAAGACCTCCGGAAGTATCATTGGAACACTTTGTGACCACAGGTTCCGAGATGAAACGGGTGCCATAATTTATGTGGACCCCCAGAGAATAGCTATCATATTTCCACAAAGGTGGTGGACGATGCAGGCAATTGATGCTGACCACAACGGGTTTTGAGACACAAGAGACATGGATAGGGGCTGGAAAAGAAAAGGAGAATCGATTAATACAAATTTTAATATAAAATAAGGACTTCCGACTTACTTATCGAATAATCGATGGTCTTCACCGAAAATCCCACCCGAAAAACATTAGAGTACAATTCGATTAGCTCCTGTACAGCTTCCCGCAGCTTATTGCATTTCAATTTGATTTGTTCCAAATTCGAACGAGGCCTCAGACACACCTCAGCATAATCTCCACAATCCTGAACAATTTCAGGATTTCCCACATTGGAGGTATATTTAATTTGACTCTCTTCACAAATGTGTTTGAGCTGATCAACACATTCCGCCAACTCCAGGGTATCAATGGAACCCAATAAGGCACAAATCGCTTTAACACCTTGGACCACACCGGAACAAGATAAGACACTGCGTGAGGTATTATCACTGGCTGCTGATTGTAATTTATCGATTTCGTTTTCAAGGGTTTCTGGAAGGAACAAAACAAAAAACAAAATTATTTTAGGGGTCTAATTAGAACCCATAGGGGTCCAGAACAAGGTGAGGATTTTTTTTGAAAATTATTTTAGGGGTCTAATTAGACCCCTTAGGGCTCCAGAACAAGGCGTGGATATTTTTTAAAATTATTTTAGGGGTCTAATTAGACCCCTCTTAGGGGTCCAGAACAAGGCGTGGATTTTTTAAAACTTTGTTTAGGGGTCTAATTAGACCCCTTAAGGGTCCAGAACAAGGTGGGGATTTTTTTGAAAATTATTTTACGGGTCTAATTAGACCCCTTAGGGGTCCAGAACAAGGTGGGGATTTCTTTAAACATTATTTTAGGGGTCCAGCCAAGGCGTGGATTTTTTAAAAATTATTTTTGGGGTCTAATTTGACCCCTTAGGGGTCCAGAACAAGGCGTGGATTTTTTAAAAATTATTTTTGGGGTCTAATTTGACCCCTTAGGGGTCCAGAACAATTTTAAATATTTTTAGGGGGTCCAGAGAAATTCTAAATTTTTTTTAAATATTTTTGGGGTTCCGTATCCTTCTCCCTTCCTCTTCTTCTTCTTCTTACCTATCAAAATCATCATATTATCATAGGTAATTGTGGTGGCCGATTCGTTGGGCAGCACATCCTCTGGCCTCAAATCCATATCGTTCATATCATCACGTTGGGTACGGGCAATGACCTGCATATTTTCACGGCTCTTCAGCCACAGTCCCAATTGGACATCCTTTTCCAATTTGAAACAATTATGGACATATTCCAATTGACTTAGTTTTGAGGTATTCGCCAACCATTCCGAAACACCAATTGGCTTAATGGCATAATCATCCACGGAACCCCTTATCTGGCCCTCCAGCGAACAGTAGGCCTGGCTGATGACCAATTCAACGGGAGTGTCAACTAGAAAACAAAATTCGACATGATTGGTTTATTGAAAAATTGGGGAGGTATTTGCTACTCACTGTTACAGGTGAAGACCACCGGCGACCCATAACCCTTAAATTGTCCACCATTCAGTGTGGCAGCTGGTACATGCGACTCCAGGGCATTCAGTGCTGGATGCACCAGAATTTTTATACTGGTATCCGGTGGAAATAGATAATTAAATTCCGAGGCAATTATGTGACCCACATTCGTTGCGGCATCATTGTAGGGATAATTTTGACGCAACTCCTTAACCATATAATAAAAATCTAGCAATTCCGGATCAATTGTCCGCTGATCGGTGACCATGTCATAGAGGCGAGAATAAGTTTTTCGTCTATCCAAAACATGGCTGCCACCCAATACAGCGGGTGCATAATTTTCATTTGTTATTATATCCCGGGCAAAGGTATTGAATGAGGCAATACTGTTGCCACCACCGCTGTTGCGGGGTGGCAATGGTGGTGGCGGAGAATGGGAATGAGAATGAGATTGTGTTTGAGAGGCCAATGAATAGGTCGATTGTAGATCTACATCACGTGCCGGATACTCTGAGGGACTGTAATCACGGCGCCAACCTAGAAAAGAGAGAGAGGGGGTGAATTTTATTTGTTTATTAAAAAAAATAGTAACCAACTTACCAATCGATCCGGTTGCTGTTTTATCAAATTTATTCACCGCCTCATAGACTGGATCCGAACACTGTGTACTGCCACCACTATAGAGATAATCGAATGGATCATATTCCGCATAAAAGGAGGTACAATCGGAGGCATCATCATCGCCTGAAAATATTGAATGGAGCATGATTATTTTTGTTGCTAATCTTTCTCGTTCTTCGATGACAAAAAACACGACGAGTGATTTCAATGCATCGCCACTTTGTATGAAAACGTTTTTTGTTAATGAAATACTAAAGAACAGCAACAACAACAACAAATTAGCATTGTTTTGTTTTTTTTCACTATTCGAGTGATTTCGGAATTATACAATAATAATACTACACTATTAAGAACAAAAACAACAACAATAATAAAATAATCAAAAAAAAAAAAAAATATGCGACACACTAAATATCAACACACACACGATACAACAAATACACATACAAAAAGTATTATGGGTATTCAAAAAAAGGCAATACCTAAAGGAGGCTATACATAAAAGTGGATCGATTGCGATAATTTTTGGTATGGAGGTTTGCCACCCAATGAGAACCCAAAATACCACAGTACAGTCAATTCGGTTGGAAATCGGCTTCGAAATTGTGAAATTTTATGGTACCCTTATATGGTGGCTATACCTAAATATGGATCGATTTTGATAATCTTTGGTATGAAGGTTTGCCACCCAACGAGAACCTAAAATATGAAATAACAATCAATTCCGATGAAAATTGGCTTCAAAATCGAGAAATTTTATGGTAGCCATATATGGGGACTATACTTAAATGTGGACCGATTTTGGAAATTTTTGGTATGGAGGTTTGCCACCCAACGAGAAGCCAAAATATGAAATAACAATCAATTACTTTGGAAATCGGGTTCGAAATCGAGAAATTTTATGGTAGTCATATATGGGAACTATACTTAAATGTGGACCGATTTTGATAATTTTTGGTATGGAGGTATGCCATCCAATTAGAACCCAAAATATGAAATTACAGTCAATTCAGTTGGAAATCGGCTTCGAAATTGAGAAATTTTCTTGGTGCCCTCATATGGTGGCTATACCTAAATATGGATCGATTTTGATAATTTTTGGTAGGGAGATTTACCAACCAATGAGAACCCAAAATATGAAATTACAAACAATTTGGTTGAAAAAACCTTTCCCAAATCCTTTTGATTCCGAAATTTAAGGCTACCGTTGTATGGGGGCTATACCTAAAAATGCATCGATTTTGATAATTTTTGGCATACAGATATGCCAGCCAATGAGAACTAAAAATATAAAATTACAGCCAATTCGGTTGGAAAATGGAATGAAAATAGGAAAATATCGAAAATTTTAGGGTAGCTATATATGGAGGCTATACCTAAATGTAGATCTATTACGATAATATTTGGTAGGTAGGTTTGCCACCCAATGAGAACCCAAAATATGAAATAACAAACAATTCGGTTGGAAGTCGGGTTCGAAATCGAGAAATTTTATGGTATCCATATATGGAGACTATACCTAAATTTGGACCGATTTTGATAATTTTTGGTATTGAGGTTTGTCATCCAATGAGAACCCAAAATGTGAAATTACAGCCTAATCGGTTGGAAAATGCGATGAAAATAGGAAAATATCGAAAATTTGAGGATAACTTTATATGGAAGCTATACCTAAAAGTGGATCGATTACGATACTTTTTTGTATGGAGGTATGCCAACCAATGAGAACCCAAAATATGAAATAACAACCAATTCGGTTGGAAATCGGCTTAGAAATCGAGAAATTTTCGGGTTCCCTTCAATGGGGACTCCACCTAAATGTGCACCGATTTTGATCATTTTTGGTAGGGAGGTTTGCCAACCAATGAGAACCCAAAATGTGACATTACAGCCAATTCGGTTGAATTTTTTTCTTTTATGTTTTTCATTTTCCGTGAATACCCCTAATATTTGCCAAATCAGCCCCCAGCTATGAATTATTTTTTTGTTTCTTGTCACACAGAAACCCCTTTTTTAATAGGATTATTATGGGGGGAAATATTTATTAACATGTGTGTCATTATGACGATGATGATGACAATCGTCATCATCATGATGATCGTCATCATTCTCATAATCATGATCAGCATTGCCATCCTTGGTGGGATTAGCATCATGTTTTTTGTTTGTATGTTTGTTTGTTGAGATTGAGAATTGTTTGCCACCATCGACGATGTGGTCGGCTACTCAAGAAGATCACCCGCACAACAAGTGAGAAGAATATGGTCTTGGTGACATTGGTGTAGGCCCACACATTATAAATAGATTAACAAAAAAAAACAACAAATTAAAAGAAATAAAAATATCGGAAACATTGAATTATTGTCATGTTCTCTTTTTGTTGTTTTGTTTTTATTGTTGTTGTTGTTTTAATTTTTTTTTAGTTATGGCCAATTTGCTTTCCTTGCCATTTTTTTAAATTATGTGATCACATTTTTCGATTTTATAGCAAATAAATTATTTGTTTATTATATGTGAGAGGGAGAGAGAGATAGTCTGCTCTCTACGAGACAGGAGCAGATATGTTTATATGAGTGTGTTCAATGTGATTAATTAAAATTTTCCCCTATTGAATTGCTTTGACAAAACAAAAATTTTGTCTCACCCTGAGTTTCGGAGGTTTACCATATTTTACGGATTTGAGACAAAATTGTCAACTGAATTTGCTGTTATTTCATATTCTGGGCTATCATACAGTAACCTCTCTTCCTACCAAAAATTATCAAAATCGGTCCACATTTAGATATAGTATCCATATTAGGTTACCATAAAATTTCTCGATTTCGAACCTGATTTCCAACCGAATTGATTGTTATTTCATATTTTGGGTTCTCATTGGGTGACAAACCTCCATACCAAAAATTATCGTTATTGATCCACTTTTAGGTATAGCCACCATATAAATATACCCTCAAATTTTCGATATTTTCCTATTTTCATCACATTTTCCAACCGAATTGGCTGTAATTTCATATTTTGGGTTCTCATTGGGTGGCAAACCTTCCTACCAAAAATTATCCAAATCGGTAATCATTTAAGTATAGTCTCCATATAAGGCTACCCTAAAATTTCTCAATTTCGAACTTGATTTCCAACCGAATTTATTGTTATTTCATATTTCGGTTTATCATTGGTTGGCACACCACCATACCAAAAATTGTCAATATTGGTCCACATTTAGGTATATTCTCCATAAAGGGGTACCACAAAATTTGTCGATTTCGAACCAGATTTCCAACCAAATTGATTGTAATTTGATATTTTGGATTCTCATTGGTTGGCAAACCTTCCTACCAAAAATTATCGTAATCGATCCACTTTTAGGTATAGCCCCCATTTAAAGCTACCCTCAAATTTTCGATATTTTTCTATTTTTATCACATTTTCCAACCGAATTGGCTGTAATTTCATATTTTGCATTCTCATTGGCTGGCAAACCTCCCTACCAAAAATAATCAATATTGGTCCACTTTTAGGTATAGGTCCCATATAAGGGTACCCTCCAATTTTAGGCATTTTTGGGCATTTCGTTCCGGAACATTTTATTATTTTCACAATAATAGATGCCACAATATATATATTTTATTATCTTTTGTTGTTGTACACATTATAAATATTTATATCTGTTTCAAGAATTGTCGGAAAAACGTGTTGCGGATTTCAATATTATTTTGTTGTTGTTTTTTTCATAGATTTTTTTTCTCATTTTTTCAAATATGTATTTTTTTCTTGGTTAGCATTCACTTGCCAATTGTCGTGTTAGTAGACGCTGTCACCGACATTCGCCAGCCGATACTTCAACAAAAAATCGCAACAACAACAATTGTTTTAGTATTGCGCGAACAAAAAAATCAAAATTTTTTGTTGTATATATTTTCCCGACGATAAGCCGTTAACCGTTCGTTCGGACAAAAGCAAAAAATCGACAACTACTATTTAATTATTCTTATGGTGGCGAACGCCGCCGTGCGCCGTAGCACTTATCATTTTGGCTAGTTCAATTGTTTTGATATACTAGGTGGTGGTGTTGTTGTTCGAATTCACAATCATTCACAATTACACGAAAAGAAAACACTTTTGATTTCAATTTTCATTCACTCAATTGCAGGGTATAATTTTAGGATTTGTTAAAAAAAAAAAAAATTTTTATACCCAATGCTTTGAATTCCTCATCATCCGCCTGGGATGATTCGACCTGCACCGATGCCGGTAAATATGCTGAAAATCGTTTACGTGGAAATGCACAGCATGATATTGACATTATTTTGATATTAAATTTTACAGAAGATTTATTTTTTATTTCTAAATTCCGTTGCGTACCCGCCGCCGTCACCGCCGGTTATGTTGTTCGCATAGAAGCTAATAATAATAGACTGTGTCACTTTGGAGAATCTATTGTGGGAGAATTTAGTCAAATGGTCAAATGGACAAGAGACAACCGCAAAAAAAAAACAACAATAAAAATCATGTACAAACAAGATCAACCAAAAAAAAAAGCAAAAACAATATATTAAGCTATGCCATACAGGGTAAACCAGAAGTAAATCTACAAATTAAAAAAAATAAATAAATATTAAAAGAAATAGGTTCACAACTCGTAAATACTTTATAATATTAGAAAATATCAACATAGGTCCACTTTTAGGTAAAGCCGCCATGCAAATGTAACCCTAATTTTTCGAATTTTGAGGATTTTAGACACATTTTTCAACCGAATTGTCTATAATTTGGTATTTTGAGTTCTCTTTGATTGGCAAATCTCCCTACCAAAAATTATCAAAATCGCTTTACTTTTAAGTATAGCTGCCACATAAGGGTGCCCTTAATTTTTCGAATTTTGGAGATTTTAGTCTCGTTTTTCAACCGAATTGGCTGTTATTTGATATTTTGAGATCTCATGGGTGTAAAATCTTCCTACCAAAAATTATCAATATCGATCCATACAACGGTACCCAGAATTTTGAGAACTTTTCCAACCGAATTATCTGTAATTTGTTATTTTGGGTTCTTAAAGGGTGACATATCTTCCTACCAAAAATGATCAAAATCGGTTCACTTTTAGGTATAGCTCCCACATAAGTGTACCCTTAATTTTTCGATTTTTGGGGATTTTAGTCCGGGTTTTCAACCGAATTAGCTGTAATTTGATTTTTTGGGATGTCATGGTGTGTAAAATCTTCCTACAAAAAATTATCAATATTGCTCCAATTTTAGGTATAGCTTCCATATAAGGGTAACCCAAATTCTTCGATATTTTGAAGATTAGGACTGATTTTCCAACCGAATTGGCTGTAATTTCATATTTTGGATATTCCTTGCGTGACAAATCTCCCTACCAAAAATTGCAAACATCGTTTCACATTTAGATATAGCCTCCATATAAAGGTGCCCCACAAATTTCGATATGTTGAGGATTTTGGACACTTTTTCTAACCTAATTTGATGATATTTCATATTTTTGGTTCTCATAGGGTAGCTTAGCTACCTACCAAAAATTATCCACATTGGTCCATAATTAGGTATAGCCCCCATACAACGGCAACCTTAAATTTCGCAATTTTAATGATTTGAGATACGGTTTCCAACCAAATTGGTTGTAATTTCATATTTTGACTTCTCATTGGATAACACACCTCCATACCAAAAATTATCAAAATCGGTCCACTTTTACGTATAGTCCCCATACAAGTGTGCTACAAAATTTCTCGATTTCGAACGTGATTTCCAACCGAATTAGTTGTTATTTCATATTATGGGTTCACATTGAGTGGCAAACCTCCAAAAATTATCAAAATCGATCCACCTTTAGTTATAGTCCCCATATAAGGTTAACACAAAATTTCTCGATTTTAAACGCGATTTCCAACCGAATTAATTGTTATTTCATATTTTGGTTTCACATTGGGTGGGAAACCTCCCTATCAAAAATTATCGTAAACGATCTACATTTAGGTATAGCCTCCATATAAGGTTACCCTCAAATTTTCAATTTTTTTCTATTTTCATCGCATTTTCCAACCGTATTGGCTGTAATTTCATATCTTGAGTTCTCATTGGCTAGCAAATCTCCATACCAAAAATTATCAAAATCGGTCCATTTTTAGGTATAGTCCCCATATAAGGGTATCACAAAATTTCTCGATTTCATACCTGATTTCTAACCGAATTGATTATTATTTTATATTTTGGGTTCTCATTGGTTCGCAAACCTCCACACCAAAAATTATCAAAATCGGAGCACATTTAGGTATAGCCTCCATATAAAGCTACCCTAAAATGTTCGACATTTTCCTATTTTCATCGCATTTTCCAACCGAATTGGCTGTAATTTCATAACTTGGGTTCTCGTCGGGAGCTAAATCTGCACACCAATTACTTTGAAAAAACGGGCCACATTTAGGTATAGTCTCCATATGAAGCTACCCTGAAATTTTCGATATTTTTCAATTTTCCTCGCATTTTCCAACAATTAATTTTTTTTAAATTTATTCCTGTTTAGACACCCTAAAAAAATTGTAAATATTATTATTAGCCATATAAAAATAATTATTACAGCAACAATAAAAAATTTCAAATTTAGATGAAATCCAATCAAAATTTTAAATACAAAAACAAAAAAACAATGAGCCATTCAAGAAAAAATGCAGCAGCAGAGGCTAGGCTAAGAGACTAAGGCTAAGGAGGGTAAGGAAATGTTTTTAATGGGCTTTTCTTTTGCATGAGTTATCTTGCTTATTAATTTTTCTTTGTGATATTAAAAAAAAATGCATGATCGAATATGCAAGGCAAGCAAATTAAAACGCAAATTATTATGATAACATAATTTTAGAATACATACATATCTAATATAGTTATTATTATAATTATTTCAATTTTTTTTTTTTTTTTTTTTTTTTTGAAGACAGTTAACAAACCCTTTTTTTCTTCCTGACTTTAATAAAACAACAGATTTTTTTGGTTTTGGTTTGTAGTGAACATTTTGAGGTTTATTCGCACAACATTTCTTTGTTTTTTTTTATCTCAAAACAATTACAAAATATATGTATTTAGTATATAGACGAACGAAAACAATACAAAAAATGAATATGGAAAACACAGAAAAAATACTGGACAAAAAAAGGAAATCATGAACAAACAAAAAACTCCAATTGGACATACAAAATGAAATTACTGACTGACTGGTTCCTAGAAAATTCGAAATATTGGAAATAAAAATAAATTAAATGTTTTTTATTAATAAAAATAAATAAATTTTTTTATTATAAAAAAATAATTTTTTTTATTAAAAAAATTATTTTTTATTAATAAAAATAAATGAATAAAAAAAATGAAATCTTGAATTTCGAATTTTAGAGAACCGACCGCCTTGTCTGAAATTGTAATCAGATAAAAAAAGATGTACGAATTTTTGAATTCAATGAATTTATGAATTGAATTTACTTTATTAAATACTTTTTTAGGTTTTTTTTTTTTTGAATTGAAAAAAAAAATTGAATGAAAAACATTATTGTTGTTGTTATATGCATAAAATTTCATTTTTGGTTGGATACTATAATGGTAATAGAATTATAATAGAGTACAATACAATATAAAAATACAGAATTATTTTCAATTTTCTGATTGATAAAAAAATAAATTAAAAATACAATTTTATTTTCAAATTTAAAATTTGCGTTTTTTTTTTTGGCAATTATACACTTTTGTTAAACATAAAATCAGATTTTTGAAATTTAGAAAAAAAAGTTTGAACATATTTTTTTTCGATCCTTAGCTTAGCCTAGGCTCAACAGCTGCATCAAATCAATACTCATCGTTTTTGGTTTATCTATTATTTAAATCATAATTATTTTTATTTTGTTTTTTTTTAAGATTTAATTTTGAAATTTTTATTTTTACTGTTTTTGCAACATAATTCAAAATTAGGGATTTTTTTCTGTTCGAAACTGGCATTCATTCTCAATGGCATATATTTTTGTTTTCTTTTTTTTTAATTTTTTGTATTAGAAATTAATTACAGTTTTTTTTTTTATGTTCATATCTAATTTTTTGTTTTTTTTTTTTATTTAGTAAGTCTTTTGGTAACTGAAAGAAAATACAAAAAAGAGAGAACAAGAGTGAAAATAAGGAAATCACATTTGTTTACAAATATTTTAGACAAACTAATTATTGGCAAAGAAAAAAATGCAAAAGAAGGGGACAACATAGCAAAAATAAATATTGTGGATATTGAAAAAAAAATCAGCTAAGAAGGACGTCATATTTGAAACATGCATGATTGAATCGATTAGACAATAAAAATAAAAAAAAATGTTCTAAAAGTGAACCGATATTGATAAATTTTGGTATGGAGGTTTTCTACCCTATGAGAACCCTAAATATCAAATTACAGCCGATTCGATTGGAAAATGTGTTCACAATCGCCAAAATTCGAAAATTTATATGAGAGCTACTACTAAAAGTGGACCGATATTAATAATTTTGGGTAGGGAGGTTTAACACCCAATGAGAACCCAGTATATGAAATTACAAACAATTCGATTGGAAAATCTGTCCAAAATCGAAAAAATTAATTTTCCGTTATATGGAGGCTATACCTAAAAGTGGACGGATATTGATAAATTTTGGTATGGAGTTTTTATTCGCTATGAGAACCCTAATTAGCAAATTACAGCCGATTCGGTTGGAAAATGTCTTAAAAATCCTTTAAATTCGAAAATTCAAAGGTACTTTTATATGGGAGCTACTCCTAAAAGTGGACCGATATTAATAATTTTCGGCAGGGAGGTTCACCACCCAATGAGATCCCAGTATATCAAATTTCAAAAAATTCGCTTGGAAAATACGCCCAAAATCGAAAAAATGGATTTTCCGTTATATGGAGGCTAAACCTAAAAGTGAACCCATATTGATAATTTTCGGTAGGAAGATTTGCCATCCAATGAGAACTCTAAATATCAAATTACAGCTGATTCGGTTGGAAAATGTGTAAAAAATCTTCAAAATTCGTAAATTCGGAGGTACCTTTATATGGGAGCTACTCCTAAAAGTGAACCGATATTAATAATTTTGGGTAGGGAGGTTTACCACCCAGTGAGGACATAGTAAATCAAATTACAAACAATTCGCTTGGAAAATGTGCCAAAAATCGAACAAATCGGTTTTCCGTTATATGGAGGCTATACCTAAAAGTGAACTGATATTAATAATTTTCGGAAGGAAGATTTACTATCCAATGAGAACCCTAAATATCAAATTACAGCCGATTCGGTTGACAAATGTGTTCAAAATCCTCAAAATTCGGAAAATCACGGGGTGTCTTTATATGGTAGCTATACCTAAAGTTGGACCGATATTAATAATTTTCGGTAGGAAGGTTTACTACCCAATGAGATCCCAGTATATCAAATTACAAACAAAACGGTTGGAAAATGCGCCCATAATCGAAAAAATTGGGGTTTCATTATATGGAGGCCATACCTAAAAGTGGACCGATATTGACAAAATTTGGTATGGAGTTTTTCTATCCTATGAGAACCCCAAATATCAAATTACAGCCGATTCGGTTGGAAAATGTGTCCAAAATTCTTAAATTTCGAAAATTCGGAGGTATACTTATATGGAAGCTACTTCTAAAATTAAAATTTTTAACATCTACAGGTATCACTAAGGTGTGGGGGGGGCAACGAGCGAACATAATTTGTTGTTGTTGTGTGGAGTAAAAGTAAGAGAATAAAGTTGAAATGAAATGCGTTCCAAGCTTACCATCACTATTTTCATTTAACAATGGATCGAAGGCTTCCAAAACGCTAACACGGGAACTGAAACAGAAAAAAAAAACATGATTACAATTTCAATAAAATCGAAAAAAGGAATCTGATTTCAAAACCTACTCATCTTCATGGGATAAATCGATTAAATCCGAACCCGGAACCCGTGACATTTTACGAGCTGGCGGTGTTTGACGTCTTGAATTATTGAGGCCGCCATTCGATTGAGCACCAGCAAGGGAGGAAGCGGAGGATGATGATGCAGCGGCACCAGCAGCAGCATTGAGGGACGAGGCAGAATTGGTGTTGACGGAGTTGGTAGCCATGGAGTGAATCAGGGCCGAGGAATGTTGTTGTTGCGGATTAAAGCTATTGGGATGCTGGGGAAATGCTTGAGATGGAGGTTTCATATTTACACCACCCGCAGTCCCGGCGGCCATAGATGTATTGAAGGAATTTCCTGCTGCAGCTGATGATGCCGCATAATAGGGTTGACCCGCCGTCGCCATGGGTTGAAATTGAAATCCGTAGGGATGTGTGGGATAATGCAGCGGGGCACCCCCAGCCATCATCATTGTTGGTGGTGGTGTATAATAGCCGGATTGGGGTGGAGCTATAAAACCCATTGCCGGTGGCCGTGTGTGGCCATAGACGGGAGCACTATGTGGAGCCGACATGCTATACAATTTGGTCAGCTCATCATTGGTGAGGGGGACCTTTTGCTGTTGCTGGGCACTGGGCACAAATGGTACCAATTGCATACCACCGACAGCGGAATTATATTGATGTATCGAGGGGGCTGGAACAGCTGCTGCACTACCAGCAGCCGCAGCAGCAACGGGGTAGAGATTTTGTCCTCCTGGCCCTGTATGATGAGGATGATATGTTGCTGTTGGATGTGGTGGTCCTGCTGCCGCATACATGGGCGCTGCTGCTGTCGGTCCCAGTGGCACCAGGGCCGTTTGCGGATTTGTTGTCTGCAATTTTTGCAGATCTTCAATTAATTTCTCAAATGAGGAATTTTCCGGATTTTTTGAGGTAGGACTGGCAAAATTGATTAAATCATTTTCCAAAGCTGAGGAGGAGGCCGCCGGTGGCGTTTTGGATCGCTCCATCACATCATGAGCCGTGGAATATGTTGATGCTCCCGCGGAAGAAGTATTGTGATTATTGGCTTCGGAATGACGACGTTGAGGTGTTTGTTGTAATTTCGGCAGGGCCAATGAGGTGGCATGTTGAGATGCGGAATAATTATTGTCCCCACCCGACGACGAGGTACGGGCATACTGTTGTCGCCTCAGCTGAGAATATAACTTATTCTTCGACTCCTGTTGTGCCGATTGGACATAGGCACTGCCATATTTTTTCGCCCGATTATATTCATCCAGAGCTTCTTGTTCTAAACTTAAGGCTGTGGCTTTGGCCAAATCTTCCTGGAATTGTTTTTCATAATCCACTTCGCTTTGCTGTTGGGAGGACATGTTGATGTGGGCGGTGGGTGTTGTTCCAGTTTAAAAATCGGAAATCGGTATGGTTTTTGGAAATCTAAAAAAGAAAGAAATCTTTTTGTTGGTTATTCTGGTCTCTTGCTTGTCTGATGGTAAATGAAATTTTCAAAAATTTATTAGGCTTTGTTCTTCGTCCGGCGTCTTTTGCGAAGAATTTTAATCGCCGGCAGATAGGTAGATTTGTTTTGTGATTGTGATATGTGGATGATATGCCAAATTTGTTTGATAAGTAGAATTATTTTTTTTTAAGAGATAAGAATATCGAAATAACGCAAAATGCAATTGCGATACACAAAACGGGAGTAATAAAAAATGGGAACTACACCTAAAGTAGACCGATATGGATAATTTTTGGAAGAGAGGTTTACCACCCAATGAGAAACTTAAGTATCGATTTTTAGCCGATTCGGCTGGAAAAAATGTAAAAAATCGGGAAAATAGGTTTTACGTTATATGGGACCTATACCTAAAAGTGGACCAATATAGATAATTTTTGGTACAGAGGATTTCTACCCTATGAGAACCCAAAATATAAAATTACAGACAATTCTGTTGGAAAATGTGTCTTAAATCCGCAAAAATCGAAAAATTGAGGGTAATTCTATGTGGGACCTATACCTAAAAGTGGATCGATTTTAATAATTTTTGGTAGGGAGGTTTGCCACCCAATGAGAACCCAAAATATCAAATTACAAACAAATCGGTTGGAAAATACGTCAAATATCGGCATTTTTGGATTTCCATTATATGGGACCCAGACAAAAAAGTGAACCGATATTGATACATTTTGGTAATGAGGTTTACCACCCAACGAGAAACCAAAATATCAAATTATAAAGAATTCGGTTGGAAAATACGTCAAAAATTGGAAATTTTGGATTTCCATAATATGGGACCTAGACATAAAAGTGGACCGATATAGCTAATTTTCGTAAGAGAGGCTTTCTACCCTATGAGAAACCAAAATATCAAATTACAGCCATTGGTTGGAAAATTTGACCAAAATCCTCAAAAATCGGAAAATGGGGGGTAATTCCATGTGGGAGCTATACCTAAAAGTGCACCCATTTTGATCAATTTTGGTAGGGAGGTTTACCACTCAATGAGAACCCTAAATATCAAATTACAAACAAAACGGATGAAAAATGTGTCCAAATTCGGAAATTTTGGATATCTATCATATGGGGCCTAGACCTAAAAGTGGTAGATATAGATAATTTTTGGTAGTGAGGTTGTGTAACTTTTGAGAATCCAAACTATAAAATTGCATACAATTCGGTTGGAAAATGTGTCATAAATCCTCAAAAATCGAAAAATTGGGGATAATTCGGTGTGGGAGATATCCCTAATAGTGGGCCGATGTTGATAATTTTTGGTAGGGAGGTTTACCATCCAATGAGAACCCAAAATATCAAATTACAAACAATTCGGTTGGAAAATGCGCCCAAAATCGGTAAAAATCGGTTTTCCGTTATATGGTGTCTATTCCTAAAAGTTGACCGATGTTAATAATTTTTGGTAGGAAGATGTACCACACAATGTGAACCCTGTATATAAAATTACAGCCGATTTGGTTAAAAGTTGTATCCAAAATCCTCAAAATTCGAAATATAGGAGGTAACTTTATATGGGAACTATACCTAAAAGTGCACCGATATTGATATATTTTGGTAGGAAGGTTTACATCCCAACGAGAACCCAAAATATGAAATTATAAACAATTCGGTTGAAAAATGTTCTATATCGAAAAAATGGATTTTCCATTATATGGGACCTATACCTAAATTTGGGCTGATATGGTTAATTTCTGGTAGGGAGGTTTACCACCCAATGGGAACCCAAAATATCAAATTACAAACTATTCCGTTGAAAAAAGTGTCTAAAATCGGAAAAAATAAATTTTCCGTTATAAGGGGGCTATATCAAAACGTGGATCGATGGTCATAATTTTTGTTCGGAATATATGTCACCCAATGAGAACTCAAAATACCAAATTCTAAGCGATTCGATTCAAAAAAAAGTTACAAAATTTGCAGAAATGCGGAAAATTGGGCAATGGGGGCTATAGAAAAAAATGGACCGATATTCATAATTTTTGGTAGTGAGCTTTGTCAGACATTTAAAATGTTGTTTTTTATGTTTTCTTAATATATTAATTATATAAAAAAAATTAAAAAAATCAATTTTTGAAAACCTAAATTTTTTGTATTTTTTTCAAAATTTTCTATTTCATTTGTATCGCAAAAATTGGTAGGGAGATATTGCCAGACATTATTAATAATTCCGTTTTTATGTTTTCTAAATATTTTATTTTTTACGAAAAAATAAAAAAAAATTTTGAAAACCTAAAATTAGTTTTTTTTATTTTTCAAAAATATTCTATTTTTTACAAAAAAATAAAAAAAAATTGAAAAGCTAAAATTAGTTTTTTTTATTTTTTTCCCAAAATTTTCTCAATATTCTATTTCCTTTTTATCCCAAATATAACGAATTCCGATTTTATGTTTTCTAAATATTTTATTTTTTACGAAAAAATAAAAAAAAAAAAAAAAAAAAATTTTTTTTATTAAAAAAAAAAAAAAAAAAAAATATTTTTTTTTTTAAATTAAAAAAAAAAAAAAAAAAAAAAAAAAATTTAATTTTATAGTGTTGACAGAATTATTACTAACAAAAAAAGAGAAAAAAATAACAACAATTACAATTTTATTACTATCTAATAAATGCCCTAGAATTTCTCTTTATACAACTACTTGAGGTTTAAGATAAACAATTTGTTGTTGTTTTTGTTTTGTATTTTTTTTAACACAAAAGACCAAGTAGAACGTCATGTCATCATCTAAACATATATAAATGTACTAAATAAATACATACGAATGTTTCTAATTATATATTCCCTATATGGCTCTTATCTAGAAATGAGATTTAGGCAATGGAGAAGGTTTTCTTTTCTCCGCTTTAAAAACAAAACATAAAAATTATTTATATTTTCTCGAAAAAATTGGACACTTTGAAGTATTTCTTTTTTTGGTTTAATTTTTTCATTACCATTTTAGGCATTGTCGTGGCCGATGAAGAAGTAGTAGAACAAAAAAAATTGCCATAAAACATGAACAGCTCGCTCATAAGTGATGCTATTTAGAGCTTAACCAAAAAACCCCAAGCACCCACACACCACATGCAATGGTTTTTATACCTTTCATTTAGCGGGTGAAGTTGTTTGCTAGTTTCGAGCCAAGATTTTGTACATCATCTTGTACATTTATGTTCGTACATGTCTGTATGTATGTACCATATATATGAAAGGCTTGAATGAAAAAATAATAATAATAAACCACAACGTATTAATATTTCTGTCTGAACAAAGAATACTCAACTGGAAATTGGTACTCATATGTCTGTCTGTTGAGGGTATGTATGATTGTAATTGAATTGCTGAATGCTACTGCTGCTAAAAGGGTGATTGACATTAATTTCATTTTATTTGTTTTTTTTTCTATACAAAGAAAAATATTTAAAAATGCAGCTATGTTTGTTTGCCGTTTTTGTGTAAATGAAACATGGAAGTAGTATTTAAATCAGTTGCTTTTTTCAAGGTCATGCCATGACTTCAATAAAAAAATCATATTTTTCCAAAATTGAATATTGCACAATATGGGCCGAAATGTTGAATATTTTCAATTTCAATTTATTTGCTTTCAATACAAAGAAAGACATTTAAGGTCCAAACATATTTTCCCCCAAAAGTTCCCTTTATGTTTTTTTTTTCGATTTTGGTTTACGTTTTTCATTTTATTGATTTTCTTCCTCTCATTTTGTTATTTTTTTAATGTGAATTTCTTTTTTTTTAGATACACACATTGCATTATTTATTCTAGTTGCATTCATACACCTCCTCCTGGTATTTCCTTAGACGGCAAGCAATCATTGTTTATAAACAATTTTGTATAAATTGTAAACAATTTGTAATACAATTGGTAGTGCAAGGGATAGGGTGGGAGGTAATAAAATGCCATAGACATGCTGGAGCATGTTATTTTTACAATTTTCTAAATTGTAAAAATAAACACATTCGAATTAAAGAGGCCTCCAAGGATTTCAGCAGTAATATTTTCATTGCCCTCCATATGGACTTGGAAAGCGATATCCATAATTTTTGATGTGGAGTTTTACCACCCAATAGGAACTCGAAGTACCCAATAAAAAGCAATTGGACTGAAAAACGTGCCAAAAATCCCCGAAATACCGAATATTTGGGAGTATCGTTACATGGAAACTACACTAAAAAATAGACCGATATTCATAATTTTTGGTGGGGAGATCTGCTACTCAATGACAACTCAAAGCACCAAATAACAAACAATTCCATTGAAAAACGTTCCAAAAATCCCCAAAATACCGAATATTTGGGGGTATCGTTACATGGAAGTTACCCTAAAAAAACCGATATCGATAATTTTTGGTGGGGAGATGTGGTACCAATGTGAACTCAAAGTACCAACTTACAGCCAATTCGGTTGAAATACGTGCAAAAAATCCGCAAAATACCGAATATTTAGGGGTACTGTTACATGGGGGCTACCCAAAAAAGTAAACCGATATCCATAATTTTTGGTGGGAGATCTACTACCCAATGAGATTTCAAAGTGTCAAATTACAGAAAGAAATGTATCAAAAATCCCAAAATACCTAATATGTGAGGTTATCGTTATAAAGAGGGGCTATACCAAAACGTGGATCGATATTTTCCCATTTTCAATACCAAACATCCTAGGAGCAGTAACAATGTATGTGGAAATTTTCAAAGCTCTATGTGCAAAATTGTTGGAAATTAATATATCGAGGTGTTGAGATTTCAAAGTGTCAAATTACAGAAAGAAATGTATCAAAAATCCCAAAATACCTAATATGTGAGATTATCGTTATAAAGGGGGGATATACCAAAACATGGATCGAGATCTACTACCCAATGAGATTTCAAAGTGTCAAATTACAGCCAATTCGTTTAAGAAATGTATCAAAAATCCCAAAATACCTAATATGTGAGGTTATCGTTATAAAGAGGGGCTATACCAAAACGTGGATCGATATTTTCCCATTTTCAATACCAAACATCCTAGGAGCATTAACAATGTTTGTGGAAATTTTCAAAGCTCTATGTGCAATATTGTTGGAAATTAATATATCGACGTGTTGGAACGGGGCTGACAAATTGAATATACACTCCACCTTAAGGCGATGGGGATGGTGCACAAATTAAAGTATATCATTTATCATATCAGCCCTACAGTCGAGGTGTCATACTCCAGGTATTGGCTTGTTTGTCAACAGTATGGACGTTTGATCACATGTATACCCTGTTCGGCTTCACATAGATCAATCTAATAGATGAGATCTATAGTGATTTTTATTAACACAATTTCCTAATTAAATGCCTTAAATGGTATTTTTGTTTAAATTAAATTCTATTCATGTGCCATCAATGTATGACGTTTGTCGTTTCGTGCACTCATCTGACATTTAACTCATGTACTCTCCTGTCAATCAATTGATGCGCACCTTAACCATTGACATCTCTCACTAAATCAATAAGCCTTCTTTTCGCACATAAACTTTTACAAAACAAAAAATCCATGAAGATAGTATTATTAAATATCATCTAGGATATTATTAACACAATTCCCTATTTAAATAACTTTTAAATTGTACTTTTTTATTTAATTATATTCAATTGATTTGCTATCAATGTATGACGTTTGTCGTCTCGTGCACTCATCTGCCATTTAACTCATGTACTCTGCTGTCATTCAGTTGGCGCGCGCCTTAACCATAAACATCTGCGTCACGGTTAAACATGCAAAGCAATCTCTCAATGGGATATTAAATATTATAAGCAATGAATTGATTTTATTTAATAAAAAATATTTTTATTTATATAATTCGTAGCACAAAAATTTAATAAATATATATATTTTTCAAATTACAACTCTAATAAATTCCTTTAATAATTTTTTATTAACTAATTATTACTCTCCTGTCATTCAATTGACGCGCGCCTTTGCCCTTGACATCTACTATATCAGAGTTAAGCATGCAAGGCAATTTACAATAGGATATTAAAGATTATACGCAGTGAAGTGATTTTATAACATAAAAATGTTTATTTTACTATATTTATTAACTAACAAAATTTTTAATTTAATTTCCAATGATTTCCTTCATTGTAATAATTACATCACTTAACTAACTCTCAATTGAAAATACCACAATTTATTTATTAATTATCACCCAAAAAATGATTTTTTATTATAATTAATATTCTAATGATTTCTTATCATCAAAGCAATAATTACACAGGCGGCAGTGGCGGCTGACTAACGTCATAATGTCATGTACTCTTCTCGCATTAATCCCCCTCTCTCCTACCCTCTGTCACTCTCTTTATTAAATAAAAAATCAATTACTCTCCTGTCAATCAATTGGCGCGTTCCTTAGCCCTTGACATCTACTATGTCATAGTTAAGCACGCAAGGGAATTTGCTATAGGATATTAAAGATTATAGTCAGTGAAGTGATTTTTAAATATAAAATTATTTTTTTTAGTAATTATATTTATTTTATTATTATTTATTAACTAAAAATATATTTTTTAATTTAATTTCCAATGATTTTTCTTCACTGTAATAATTACACAAAAGGCCAACGTCATTGTCATGTCATCTTCTCCCATTATTGATCTCTCCTAACTCACCGCCTCCAAAAAATGATCCTCAATGGTGCTTCATTAACAACAAATTCTATTAAAAACATCATTTTTTATTTATTAAAAAACTTCTAAAACATCACGTAACTAACTCCTATTAAAAATATCACAATTTATTTATTAATTATCACCTTAAAAACGATTTTTATTTATTTCAATTAATATTCTATTGCAGTGTTGGGCAAAATTAAATTGAGAGCAAGTGTGTGCGAGCGTAACTGTGAATTCACCACTAAAAACGACTGACGTAAAGAGAAAGAAAGAGAAAATGTGTTTACCCATCGACCCTCAGTTACGGTAGCGTATATGGCCGAGCATGCCTGTTCTATTGATATCTTAACATCAAAGCAATATTTACAACGGCGGCTGACTAACGTCATAATGTCATGTATTCTACTCGCATTAGTTTCCGTCTCTCTCTCCTTCCCACTGTCAACTCTCTTTATTAAATAAAAAATCAATTACGTTAGTTATTAACTACTCGCGCCTTAACACATTTGACATGTACGTCAGGGTTAACCAATCATACAACAGCAACAATTAAGGAAATGCAGAAAAAAGAACAAAAAATCGAAGGAAAGCAACAACAACAAATGGAAAATGATGGCACCATTCATTAATGGTTTTTTTTATAAAAAAAGAAATAAAAAAACACAGAAACAAACAACAAAGAAAGCGGAAAGAACAAGAAGAGGAAAACAACAACAACGATATACAACAAGCACAAACGTAATCATAAAAAAACACAGTAAGTGAAGTATTAAATACAACAACAACAAAACACAAACAGCAAAAACAACAAGTGGTGCCAAAGTTAAGTTATGCACAATAAACTACAACACAAGTCCGTCTGTCAGTCAGTCAGCCAGTCATAATGATTAAAGTCTGCGATAAAATATAGGAAAACAAACACAACAACAATAGCGGCTCATCAAAACACAAGATATAAAAAGTGAGAAGTGGTGGGGTGGGGAGATGGTTGATGGGTGTCAGTCAGTGTTGTGTAGTGAAAATCACAGACAAAAAGAAAGCAAAAAAGCTCAAGAAAACGTCATTCGTCATATGAAATCAAAAAAACGAAGGAAACACAACACACACACTCGCACACACCAAAAAAGGCCGGTTATATTAAAAACATGAGAGGAGTTAGTGTCATAAGGGGGGATTTAATAGAACAATAAACAGGGGGTTTCTCGTAATGGGGTTGGGTTTAAAAACCAAAGAAGAGGCAAATAAATAAACAAAACAGCAACAACAACAATTATATATTAAATTGTAAATTTTCCTTAACTGTTTTTTTAATAATTAAGAACAACAATGGCAAATTAGTGAATAGAAACGGACAGACAGAAATAAATGAATGCCTCTTGCAAAGCCCACAATTGAGGCAGACAGCCAGCCAGCTTAAGTTAAGGCAATGAGGCAAGCAAAAGTTGTGACAAGTTTTTTTTTCTTCTTTTTGTGATAAGCAATTGCACTCTACAACAACAATATGCGTTTTTGGAGATTATTTACTTACATTTGCTTTTTTTGTTGATTTAATAATTATGCAAATATAAAAAATGTTTCCTCGGAATTTATTTTGTCAACACAAACACAATTTTCAAACACTTAACATAATTAAATATGTTGGAGGCCTTGCATTGGAGGCTTCAAATTTCGAACGATTTTTCGAGGTTTCTTCTTTTTTTGGATTATTTTTTGCACTTTGTTTTACATTAACACACACAGACGTCATTCAAACTCTTCTCATCTTTTTTTCTGGAATTTCAAAGGTAAATTTGATATTCATAATTTATTACTTTTGTATTTTCCGCGTTCATGTTTTTTCCCGATTATTGATTAACTTAAATAATTATTTTGTGTTTTAAATAAAAAACATAAAAATATTCTTTTTTTTGTCGTTTCTCGGCTCGTAATTTATTTGTTGTTGGATGAAAGTTTAATGCTGAAATGTCAAACAAGTACTAAGGTGGTAGGGTTTTGTAAATCGAAGATGACTAAGAATTAGGGTTCTATAGTTAAGAAATGGGATGAGAGCATTTATCGATAATCAGAGTTGGAAAATTGTATTTTGGAATGACATTGAAGAAAATGGAATGGAAAAGCAACTGTTGCTTCATTTCATGGACAGGGTTGCAATTGGAGACTTAATACTTGTAGAAGGGGTTCCTTTCTCTTGTTGTTTGAAAAGCTGTGATAATGAAAAATGAATTATAATAAAAAATAATAAAAACCCGATACTAAAAATGGTATATACTTTAAAAAAAGTAAAACATGGGAAGAGGAAAATAAAACATGGAGCACATCATAAAAAACCTCCTCCAGCGCACCCTATCAGTTTGTTCGTTCAAAGTCCAAGAGTTTGTGAACCCCATTAGATGACAAATTGGAAAATTTAAACCCCGTTTAGAGAACTCTGAAAGGTTATTTAGATTTTTAAAGATTTTTTTTATCCTGGACATAAACAGGAATATTTTTCTTGCACCCACACAAGGCGTAAATTTGTTAAAAAATATTTTCCCTAAACCTTCCCAAAGAGTAGATTTTTTAATGAATATATTTTCCTAGATCTAAACAAAGTGTAGATTTTTTGAAAAATATTTTTTTCTTTTCAACTCAGGGCAGAGATTTCAAAAAATATTTTTGCTTGGATTTTTAAAAAATCTTTTTAATTCCAAGCCTCACGGCAGTGTTGTATTTTGTCTTCATTTAAAAAAAAAGAAAACATTTTTCCTGCCTTTTATTTTCAAATGCCAAAACATTACATGTGAACCCAGCTTTTATATTCTCATCATTTCTCTCTCATCTCAACCATATGAGTCAGTCGTTATCTTTCAACAACAATCGATTTGTATAACTCTTTAATTTGTCTACGCTTTTATCGATCTATAGAACCCTTACATATTAACGTTACTTTTGTTTTGATTCGCCGTTTCTTGATTGCTTGTTGCATTATCAACGAAAAAAGTGTTTGTTTTATTTTTTTTACTTTGTTTTTAATTGTTTTTTTTTAATTTTCACAATTAATCATGTTAAGTAGTCTTAGGAAAAAGCTTAACAATGCCCTACAAGAAGCCTCAATAATAACCGAGAATTTGCAGCAACAATATCGGCAACGTGTCAACAATTCCGATGTAAGATTAAACCAATTGGAAAATTTCGAAAGTGAAATCCATTTTTAATATTTTTTTTTACAGAACCTTAATCGCAGCCGCAGTTCCAGTTCATTGGTTTTGTCCACAAGTGAGCTGGGCCTACCATCGCACGTCAATGTGGCCGCTGGCTGTAATTTACTTGCCAAATATGAAGACGACTGGCGGGTGATACATCAAAACAATGAAGAAAATGCCCAAAAGGCGGAGGCTATAGCCAAACAAATTCAGGATATAGAATTGCAGATGAATCAAAAACAAATTGTTATGAGTGACTTAGTACATTGCCTAGCGGTAATTCCGAACTTAATGGAGAAGCTAAAATCATGCCAAGAAACATTGGGGGAGGTAAATCAGCTGAGTCGTACTGTGGAAAAGGAATTGGAGAAATTGGAAGATCTGTGTGCGGAATGTGAACTGGAGGAATATATGCTCGAGAGGCAGTGTGAACTGTCGAAATTTAAACAAAAGAAAATGGGTAAGAAATTAAATTTTTTTTCCACTACTGCTTAGGATTTTAATTTTGTTTATATCTTCTATAGAGGATTTGGAATCATATCGCCAAAAAGTTGCCGCCGAGCATCAGGCGAGGATACGCCAGCATGAGGAGAAGCTCAGGACAATACAAAAAGAACGACAAGCCGTATTCGATGATGCCTTTCGTCATGATCTAAAGGAGTTCAAGGAGAATGGACACATACCAAGTATGTACAATTCTGAATCTATTTCAAAACTTGCAAAAATCGAATATTTTTGTTTTGAAGTGGGGCATACCGACTATTTCAAAATTCTTTAACTATTTTTTTTATTTTTTAGAAATTGAAAAGGAATTAAAACCATCAAAAATATCCCTTGAAGAAGTGGACTTAGATGAAGAAGTTACAGAAACCAAAGATGCTCTGGAAGAGTTTTTAAATGGCTGATAATTGTTTTCTTCGTAAGGGTCCCAAAAAGTAAATACATATAGTCCTCAAAGTGCCTGCATCTACTGTTACAATAACAAAACAATATATCGTATAGTGCAATATTCCAAATCGCCAAAAACGAACAGCCAATTATTGGTGTCAAAAAACAAATTAATTAAAAAAAAATCCCCCACCAACGACAATGAAGTATTTGTTATACATATAACATTTTTTATATTCAATTAGAATTTAATAAATAAAAAAATAAAATTGAATTGAATTCAAAACCATACATTAATCTCCAATTCAGCCCAGCTGAATTATGATTTCTATAGGAAATCTTCAATTCAGCCCAGCTGAATTATGATTTCTATAGGAAATCTTCAATTCAGCCCAGCTGAATTATGATTTCTATAGGAAATCTTCAATTCAGCCCACCTGAATTATGATTTCTATAGGAAATCTTCAATTCAGCCCACCTGAATTATGATTTCTATAGGAAATCTTCAATTCAGCCCAGCTGAATTATGATTTCTATAGGAAATCTTCAATTCAGCCCAGCTGAATTATGATTTCTATAGGAAATCTTCAATTCAGCCCAGCTGAATTATGATTTCTATAGGAAATCTTCAATTCAGCCCGGCTGAATTATGATTTCTATAGGAAATCTTCAATTCAGCCCAGCTGAATTATGATTTCTATAGGAAATCTTCAATTCAGCCCAGCTGAATTATGATTTCTATAGGAAATCTTCAATTCAGCCCAGCTGAATTATGATTTCTATAGGAAATCTTCAATTCAGCCCAGCTGAATTATGATTTCTATAGGAAATCTTCAATTCAGCCCGGCTGAATTATGATTTCTATAGGAAATCTTCAATTCAGCCCGGCTGAATTAAGGTTTAAATATGAAAAAAATTCAAAATTCAATAAATTTTTAAAAACTATTTTTTCCGGGACCAACACAAGGTTTCTGCTCGTCTATGAAAGAGTCCCTGCTTCAGTCGTCTATGAAAGACTCCCTGCTTCAGCTCGTCTATGAAAGATTCCCTGCTTCAGCTCGTCGTTAAAGACTTTAAATATTTCCTTTAGATCGCTCGTCTATGACCCCGTTCCGCTCGTCCTTTTTTACGAATAAATAACATGTTTATTGGTGTCTATTAATTGGAATACAAAATTAAATCTAAACTAAAAATCTAATCACTAGTCAAATCGACAACATTTTCTTTGGCAGGTTCCGAGTTTTGATTATGACTATCATCATCTAGAGATTTACTGGTAGACTCTTCCGTTTTCATGGGTGAATTGCTTTGGGTCAAAATATTATCGGTAGATATTTCATTTTCCAAAGATTGTACCTCCGTATCTTTACTGTGTGACCTAACTTCTGGGACCTCTGTTAGACTGCCTACAATTTTTAATTGATTCAAGACCTCTTCCTTTCGAATGTCATTGGAATTTTCCTCAATACATTCAATGACTTTGGGCATGACTTCGGAATTATTATCTGTAATATTTGTGGAGGTATTTTCTGTTTCCTTGGGTATATCTGTAATCATATCCTTGTCAGAAGAAGACCGATGTTCATTGTCCGAAGTCTCCTTTTCAGCCACAACAGCTACACTGTCTTCAACATTTTCTTTAGATACTTCAGGGTTATCCTCCATCACAGAGGACTCGTGGTGTATTGGCAACACTTTATGTCCCTCGTTGACACCTTCAAAATTTCCCTCGATATTGACTTCTTTGTTATCTTCAATATCCTTTTTAGATGCTTTAGGATTATCCTCCTTCTCAGAGGACTCCATTTTCTGATCTTCAACATTTTCTGTTGGTACTTCAGGAGTAACCTCCTTCTCAGTGGACACATGGCTAGTTGGCAACTCCTCCTTCTCCTCTTCTTGTTTATCATTAACACTACGACTATTTTCTGCTAAATTTCCAGGTACGTTTTGTTCCTCTGCCACAACATTCGCTGCTGGACAACTTTCTTCTGGCAATTTGTTAGATTCCAAATTCCCATCTTCTAGGGAACATACCAAGCTCGATTCCTTCTCCATAACTTCTTTTTGTTCTCCTCTACAAACATTCGGCGTAACTTCCACCTCCTGACAATCCGAATCAGATGAGGAACTACTTGAAATGGAAAGAATACAATTGTTCGAAGTTGTATGCCCCTTTTCGGAAATATCCGATTTAAGGGATATATGTGAATGGACACTTTCCACATCACTTTCATTTTCGATGACATACGAGGGTGATTGTTTCTTTTCGTGACTTTTTGTCGGCCTTTTCGTTTTATTTCCTGACCGATTTTTCTCCTCATCGGACGATAAATTAAATGTCAACACTCCATTTTCATCTTCTTCCGCCGACGAGCTATTAAGACTTATATTTAAATCTTCCGATTCTGAGGTATGATATGTTAAACTTAAATCACTGGGAATGTCCATTTTTTCTTTATCACTATCCCCCTCCTCCTTTAACTCTTCGATTAGCAATTCTGTTTCAGGATCCCGTTGCTGTCGATTCGTCGATTGTAACAGTTGATTCATTTGATTATAGGCCATGGCGGCTGCCATAACCATATTATGATCCATATACAGTGCTAAATGGGGATCTGAGGGATCCACTTCCTGGTGATAATAATCCTCGTTTGCATTTTCCTCCTTTTCCTTTCTATCATGTTTTCTTTTGTGCTTCTTCGTCTTTTTCTTTTTACCCAATTCTTCATTGCTATCAATCGATTCGGAGGATGTGGCTGAGGACAATGTTGAGGGTGATGATGAAGATGATGATGGGCTGGAGGAGGATGAACTTTGTTTTTTATGTTTCTTCTTTTTCTTTTTTGTCAATTTTTTGTTTTTCTTCTCCTTCTGATGCTTCTTTTGCTTGCTGGAGTCAGATGACTCCGTGCTGCTATCGGATTTATGATTGGAATATCTGCGTTTTCTTCGTTCTCTCGTGGCTGCATCCATATCCCTTAGTTTCCGTTGACAATTTCGATGATTACGATCGTACTGCCGCTTATTGTGTCTCATCACCGAGTTAATGGTACGATCTAGGAAATCTTTATTGGGTTTACCCAATGGATTAATTTTACGTTCTTGGACGCGAGGCAACATATCGGCCTCCTTTTGCATTTGCATTTCCCGCATTATTTCCTCCACCGCTTTTCTGAAAAAAATATAAATAAAGATTAATATATTAATATAAATTATAGAATATATACTTCAGGAGTCATAGAAAGAGTCTTTCAAAACTATTTAGCCATTAAGAATCCATTAAGACATTCCCAAAGAAATACTGCTTCCAAAAAAACACTCAAAAACCATGGGATTGTATTCATTGGATGCCCTTGGGCTTGGTTGGCACATTTCCAAGGACATCCTGGAGAGAGTTGAACCACAGAAATCATTGCTAGTACCTTGTTAACTCCGCTTCATCCATTGTTTATCCACTTTATATTTATTGTATATTGGGGATATTGGGAGCCTTTTCCCACAACAAACTAGTTCAAATATAGTGTAATTCTCTGAAATGAACTAACGGCAATAATTCTAGTTGGTTCATTTCTCAGTTCCTTTTGGTGAATAACTCCAATTCAAATATCACAAATCAAAGGAGGAGCTGTTTTGACGATATTTAAATAATTTATTTTATATTTTAATATCTAGATAATATTTTTTGTATTAAAATTAATTTAAATAAATTAATTGTTCGTAAAATAATAAAATAAAGGGTATTTCGTCAAATTTGACACAGGGAACTATAGCTGAAGCAGGGAGTCTTTATAGAGGAGCTGAGTGGGAGTCTTTATAGGCGAGCTGAGGCAGGGAGTCTTTATAGACGAGCTGAGGCAGGGAGTCTTTATAGACGAGCTGAAGCAGGGAGTCTTTATAGACGAGCTGAAGCAGGGAGTCTTTATAGGCGAGCTGAAGCAGGGAGTCTTTATAGGCGAGCTGAAGCAGGGAGTCTTTTTAGACGAGCTGAAGCAGGGAGTCTTTATAGACGAGCTGAAGCAGGGAGTCTTTATAGACGAGCTGAAGCAGGGAGTCTTTATAGACGAGCTGAAGCAGGGAGTCTTTATAGACGAGCTGAAGCAGGGAGTCTTTATAGACGACCTGAAGGGAGTCTTTATAGAAGGGCTGAAGCGAGTCTTAATAGACGTGCTGAAGGGAGTCTTTATAGACGAGGTGAAGGGATTCTTTAGAGAGGAGCTGTATGGATTCATATTTTTCTTTAGAAAGAGCACGAGGCATTTCCTATGATGCCTTGCATGGCATAATTATACAAGGTAGTCGTATGCGGACATATAATTCCAATTATTTTATAAATTTATTTTGACAACACTCAGCTTCCAAAATTTAAATGAAAATATTAATAAATTGTTTAAAAAATAATAAGTTGTTTATAAATAATTGTTTGTTATTGTTTATATTAATTAATAAATTGTTTATGTTAATTAATATTTTGAAGTTCCCTGCCTCTGAAACCTATAAATATAACACCCAATTTACGACTTGAGAACGATGTGCAGCTTAAGAAAATAAAAATATTTATATTTATTAAAAATATGCCAATCGACATACATTTTATGGAATTTATTTAATATTATTTGAAATTAATATATGAGACTAGCTTCCATAATTATGCCTTGATATTCCTTTTAGTAAATATTACAAACATGTAAAATAATTGGAACTAATTGTTATTTTATTTATACTGGCATAAAATGCCATCAGACAGATCTGCATTTCCTTTTCATTTTTATATCTTGGCGTAAAATGTATTATTGTACCGTGCATTGAGCGATTTTTAATTAGTCCATAGATATCGGGTACCGGAACCTAAAAAAGGATAGTATTTTTATTACATATTTATTAATTTGTAATTTTTGCGTATAAAAAAATAATTTAAATTTTTTAATTTTCTATCCCTTACCATCCTACTAACTTCTGATGCTTTGAACTGACACATTACGTTACGTTAATCTATAATTTTAAGTACTTTAGGAAAATACAACCCTGTCTCAATACATATTCTAAGCAAAATGTTTATTGTTTTTAATAATTACTTTCTCCTCCATATTTCAATATATTTTATTGTGAGTAAATATTGTATTTATGAGTAAATTTATTTAAAAATATACCATTCATAAGGAAACAGTCAATGCCAGGCCACAATGTCATAAAGCCACGCTTTTATATTAGGTGTCACTTTGTCCGAGCGCTTTTCAATTAGGTTGCACATGTACGGCAGGCCACAATGTCAAAAATGCCATATAGACACGCTTTTATATTAAGTGTCACTTGTTTTGCAATTTGTTAGTACGCTTTTCAATTTGGTTGCTCACGCACGTCATTCATATTGGCGGGAGTCTGTCTCACAATATCATGGTGCAAATAAACCGCCTTTTTTTAATTTTATTGTTATTTATTGGAGAAGAATAAAGAATAATGGAAAAATAACACTCCCTATAGCCCAACGTTAAGGAAAAATAAGGTTTTCATGCATTAATATAGATGAATTATGCATGTACAAATCCCGGACAGTAACATTCTTAATGAGAGTCCGTTAGAAAAGTAGAGAAGAGATATCAGCTGTTTATGGTATGAATTAAAAAAATCTTGAAGTAATAATAAGAAAAATATTAAAAAATAACAAATTAATACAAAAAACTTCATCAAACAAATAGGAAATCACATATCCTGCATTAACATTGTCGTCGTACGACATAATTTTATACCACGTTACGTCAAATACTAACTCACACACATTCATTAATTATGAGTACCACAATTTACAACCCTGACGACTGGTGTCAATTTCTGATCGCATACTCATTCGTTTTTCTGTATCTATTGAGAAGAAAATTTTCTACCGATTAGACGTGTGGTTTTTTGTAGTGAATTTATCCCGGAAGAATTTTGTTAAAATTTCTTTCTGGGAAATCATCTTAATTGTAAAGTATTTATCTCTCCACCAACAAATAATTCTTCCAGGTAAGTTAAAATAATTCCAAAAACAAATTAAATAAAAAAATACGGGAAACTAATAATAACCTTAATGAAGGGGAGTTTTCTAACGACGCCATCCGTTTTCATATTGGCCGGCATAATTTATTTCATCTATGTAAAAAATGTGTATAATTTGTTTCGTTTTCAACAATAATTGCCACTAAACGTGTAGTTTCGTTTCAATTTGTTAAATGAAAAATATTACTGTCCATATTACATAAAAAACTTTGTGCTAATTTTTCTTCAGTATATATAACGTGAAAAATGTGAGGGTCGTCGAGAAGTGAGAAAAAAAAACCTTTTAATAAAAAAATGGCCGACTGGGTGCGTCTTTGTATGCGGCATTTGTGCTACCACAACTAATATGGGTTTAGTTGTGTGTGTATGTGGTGTGGGGGTTATAACCACGAAATCATTCTTTTTTCTTTCCCTCTGTTGTCTGTTCCTAGTTCTGTGTGGCTTTAATGTGTTCAATCAAATATTTCCTTAACTACTTCTCATATACTTAAAAAATGGCTTTAAAATGAATTGCAAACCAAAACATGATTTTTATTTAATTTAGAAACAAAAAGTCGTCGTAAAACTTTGTTGTAAACGGATTACGTTTTGTCTCGCCGAGTCCGGTTTTGCGGTAGATATCAACGCGCCCGTAGCCGACAACTACGCCTTCGTCGCCGCCGCCGTCATTGTTCACACACGCCGCACGTACGTAAACGTCAGGTGTGCGTTGCCGCCGACTGCTCTCTCTCTCTCACACAGATAGATACAATAGACGTGTTCGTTACCTCGCCGCAGCAAACTTGTCGTCAACATGCCTGGAGCCGGAACTTTTAAATTGTTCATTGGCAATCTAGATGAAAAAACTCAAGCAACGGAACTGAAGCCATTGTTTGAGAAATACGGTACCGTTGTGGAATGTGATGTCGTCAAGAATTATGGTTTCGTCCACATGGAAACCGAGGAGCAGGGTCGCAAGGCCATTGAAAATCTTAACGGTTATATGCTAGGTGGCAACGGTATTAAGGTAGAGGCGGCCAAGAGCCGACGTGCACCCAACACCCCGACAACGAAAATCTTTGTCGGCAATCTAACCGATAAGACGCGAGCACCCGAAGTACGTGAATTATTTAAGAAATACGGTACCGTTGTTGAGTGCGATATCGTCCGGAATTATGGTTTTGTCCATTTGGATTGCATCGGTGATGTGCACGATTGCATTAAGGATTTGAATGGTCGTGTCGTCGATGGTCAACCGTTGAAAGTGCAAGTGTCAACAAGTCGTGTGCGGCCAAAACCCGGCATGGGCGATCCAGAACAGTGTTATCGTTGCGGCCGTCCGGGTCATTGGTCCAAAGAATGTCCGCGTTTGTACGGAGGTAATGGTGGCCGAGACTTGGGTCCGGGCGGCTATAGAGATCGTATGTACGGACGTGATCCATATCCACCACCACCGCCACCACCACCATTCTTGCGTGATCGTATTATGGATGGCTTTAGGGTAATAATAACAATGATTATTTATTTATTATATTCAAAAGAAAAAATACTCGAAACTCCAAAAAGATACTCTACTCTTAATATCATTCAAAAAATCAACTATACACTACTACTATTTACATGCACCAACAACAACAAAACAGAAAAACATTACAAAATGTGGGGTTTGGAAAGAAATTGTGTCCTTGAGGGAGAAATTACAGTAATTTATGCAGCCATAAGTCAAGCTTAGAGTGTTTACATTAAAAGCTATTGTTTTTAGGAGATCTTTATTCAATTTATTTAATTTTTTGTTCATAATCTAAGTTTTCAGTAATTTTTTATATTATTTAATGCTTGATGACATTGTCAAAAACATCATAGGGACACGCTTTTACATTAGGTGTCACTTGTTTACCTTTTAGTTAGTACGCTTTTCAATTAGGTTGCACTTGTATGTCATTCATATTGGCGGGAGTCTCTCTACATATCATTGAGTGAACGAAAAGGAAATAATAATGTATATATCGTGATTTTCTTTATTAAATAAGTGATGAAATGGCAAAAAATAACACCCTATTAGTATGAAATTAAAGAAATAATGATTTTTCTTTGTTAAATTATTGCATTATGTGTATTACAAATCAAAGACAGTGACGTGCATGACAGATACTCTCAAAGAGAGTCAGTTAGCAAAGCAGATAAGTGATAACAGCTGTCTTAATATTAGTTTGAGCATGATTTGCAAAGGCCAAAGTTAGAATCATTAGAAAAATGATTAAAAAGTGAAATTATTTAACAAATAAAAGGAGGAAATAGATCAAGGATTTAAAGAAACGTTGTTATAATAAAAATGGAAAAAATATATTGTTGTTGGTCAGGCGTAGGTGAAATTCTTGCATTATCAAGTCAGAGACAGTGACATGTATGAGAGAGATTATCATGTATGAGAGGAAATTGGATTTTCCCTTTTAGTCATAGGAAAATTGCTTTAAAAAATGCAATTAATTTACAAATAAATAATAGGAAATTGGAATAGGGACGTAAAAGGAAATTATGGAGATAATATTAATGGACAAGTTCCAGTTCCGTATGACAGACGTTGAAGGAAAAATCATGCATTTAAGTTGTTGCATTATGACATGCAAACCAGTGGCAGTGCATGCATGAGCGAGATTTTCAAAGAGAGTCCGTTAGACAAGTAGGGAAGAGTGACAGCAGCTGTCTAATTTCCGTGTAGTCATTGAAGTGCAAAGTTTAAAGTGCAAAACTTAAGAAAAATATTTAAAAAATACAAATGTTTAATAAATAATTCGCAGGAAAGTGTTTTTAAGATATAAAGGAAAAAATTTGAAACAATTCAAGCTGACAAATTTAAATATTACGATTAAAATTTTGCACACAAAATTATAGGATTTGCTTGTGGTATGGATTGCTAGTAGAAATTCAAGAGAGGGAGAGAGTGAAAGTGTCTGTGACAGTTAGAAGCAAATGACAAAGTATAAAGAGGAGTTGATATCAGCTGTTTCATTTAATGATGGCAAGGAAGACTAAAATATAAATCTTTAGAAAATTATAAAAAATAATTTATTTAAGAAAATAAAAGCAGATAATATTGTTTGAGGAGCAGAAGTAAATACTTGGAAGATTAATGTACGTCTAAAAATTAAATATGAAGTCTGTTAAAAACTTGCCATTAATAATTTTTTTTAAGGTTAGGGGATGAAAGTGATATAAAGGTTTTATGTGACATTTTTGGAGATGATGCAAATTTATTAGTGTGATAACGTTTGACTTGGATTTAAATCTAGGGATAAATCAAGACCGAAATTGCTCGATCTGCCCAAATCTTTTGTATTTCAAAGTAAGTCTGAAAAATAATGGAGGTTTGTTAAATATGCGATTGATTTATATTTTTAGTAGATCGAAAGATGAGAATGATCAAAGCCTTATGGGGAGACTATTATGGACTTGATAAAAAAAATAGTTTTGAATTAATTTAAGAAAACATTCAATGAGAGAACTTTAAGGGTTAATAACAGAAAGGGCTCAGCTATAACATATTAAAAATCCAATTACTGTGAGTCTGGAGAAATATACCCAAAACGATATTTTCCCACACTGGATACAATTTCTTGCAAAACCCCATTATTACAAAATTCAACTTAAAATGTATCATCCTATCTTTTTAGCATATTCAATATTATCACTAACTAATATATTTCTTTATCCAATTTTTTCCAACAGGATTACGATTACTATGATCGTCGTTTCGATGATACCCGCGATCTGTTCGAACGCCGCTATCAGGGATCACGTATGCGTGATTTCCCACCACCACCGCTGTCGCGACGTGATCCTATGCCATTGCCACCCACGTTGAACGGTAGCCTGCGTGGCAGCAGCTTATCCCGTGGCTATGACAGTATGTTTAGTCGACGATCACCACCACCATCGCGTAGCAGCAATGGCATGGGCCGTTACGGTGGCTATGAAGATTTTAGCCGTGATTCGTTTGATGATCGTATGATATCACGCGGTATGCGTAATCCATCACCACCCGGTCGGCGGTATGCACCGTACTGAGATGAACTGTATTATAGTAATAGTTCCAAGACCTCTAGATATGATGATGGCACTAAAGAGGAAAAAATCTATCATAATAGATTTTATGTTATAAATTTTTGAGCGTGAGAGGCATACTATTATTATGTTTTTTTATTTTTTTGAATGAACAACAACATTTATGTTTGAACAAAAGTTTATCATCAGATTATATATTACATATATAATAATAGCACATAGAAAACAAACAAAACGACAATTATGACAGATTAACAAAATAGTCCCCCCACACATACATTTTTTTATGTGATGAAAAATAATGTCGCCCTCTACTCTTTTTGCCATTTTCCCCCATTTTTAATTATTTAATTTATATTAATTGTGAAAGTTATTTGTCCGACCCCCAAGCAACCAACTATGCTCCCAACCACCTATCAATCATTTGTCCATTGTAATGTCATTTGCCCACAGAGGGTGATTTTCTTGTTATATAGGAAGCACCCCCATGGACATTTTGGAATTTACAGATTTTATGTGTTTTCCCCTCTCTCTCCCAGTCCCAATCACCACTATCTAGTTTAGTAACATTGGAAATTATAACCCACAAGCAAACAAAAAATAATTATAATGAAGTAAAAAAGAAAAACAATTTATAATTTTTAAGACATATTTAGTTAAAACAAAAAAGAAAACTATTTTTTAAGACATTCTCATCTATATTATTTTTCTTCTCTACTTTCTTCTTTATGTAACTTTATATATAAATGCTTTGATTTTGGAAAGCCACCACCACCATCAGTTCTAATTGGTATTTTATACACAAAAAAAACTGATCTGAACAATTTTTTTTAAAAATTTACATCATGTAAATATACAGCATATAAACAAAACAACAACTACATTTCATTTATATATATTATATAATGATGGAAAAATAATTTAACAAAAATAAAAAATTAAATCGTAAAAATCACACACAAATATTTTTGTGACAAAATAAAATTGTAGTTGTTTTATTTAAAGGGGTGGGAAATAAGGGGATAGATAAAAATTTCGGTGAAAATTTTTTTTCGTCAAAAAAAAAAAATTCGGTAACAAAATGTTTTTTCGTCTATAGAAAAAAATTTCGGTAACAAAATTTTTTTTCGTCTATAGAAAAAAATTTCGCTAACAAATTTTTTTTTTCGTCTATAGAAAAAAATTTCGCTAACAAAAATTTTTTTTCGTCTATAGAAAAAAATTTCGGTAGGAATTTTTTTTTTCGTCTATAGAAAAAAATTTTCCTTGACAAAATTTTTTCTCGTCTAAAAAAAAAATCGTTAACAAAATTTTTTTCGTCTATAGAAAAAAATTTCGCTAACAAAAATTTTTTTTCGTCTATAGAAAAAATTTTTTTTTCGTCTATAGAAAAAAATTTCGCTAACAAAAATTTTTTTCGTCTATAGAAAAAAATTTCGGTAGGAAAAATTTTTTTCGCCTATAGAAAAAAATTTCGGCAGGAAAAATTTTTTTCTCGTCTATAGAAAAAAATTTCGGTAGGAAAATTTTTTTTCGTCTATAGAAAAAAATTTCGGTAAGAAAAATTTTTTTTCGTCTATAGAAAAAAATTTCGGTAGGAATTTTTTTTTCGTCTATAGAAAAAAAATTCTGTTAGAAAATTTTTTTTTCGTCTATAGAAAAAAATTTCGGTAGGAAAAATTTTTTTCTCGTCTATAGAAAAAAATTTCGGTAGGAAAAATTTTTTTCTCGTCTATAGCCAAAAATTTCGGTAGCAAAAATTTTTTTCTCGTCTATAGAAAAAAATTTCGGTAGGAAAAATTTTTTTCTCGTCAATAAAAAAAAATTTAGCTAACAAAAATTTTTTTTCGTCTATAGAAAAAAATTTCGGTAGGAAAAATTTTTTTCTCGTCTATAGAAAAAAATTTCAGAAAAAAATGATGCTATATAATTTGTTTTCAAAAAATGTATATTGTTTTAAAATATTTTTTATGGATAATTTTAAATAATTTTTTAAAGCAACTTTTAAGGTTAATTAAAAATTTTTCCGAATTTATTTCTATAGGCAAAAAAAAAAAAAATCCAATTTTTTCTATAGACGAAAAAAGTGTTTTGGATTTTTTATATAGTCAAACAACTTTTCGATTTTTTTCTATGGTCGAACAATTTTTATTTGGACAAAAATTTTGTTCCTATTTTTTGGAATTTTTTTTTCAACCAATTTTTGTATGGACGAACATTTTTTTCCGAGCGATCCACCCCACCACCACCCACACAACAACAACACTGCAATACGAAAGAACACAACAACAGTATTTGTTATAAACGTCTATCCTCCCATTACCACCCACTCTGTGAAGCATAACAATATCACAAGAGAAGAGACCAAAGAACGAAACACACTGAGAGGAGAACAATTGTACTCTTCCCTACACAGTTACATTCTCCAACAATGAGAACAGTTAAAATCAAATGTAACCTATTGTCATATTAGAATTCTAATTAGAACTACCAACCTATTGCACATTACAGTGTTGTCAATTAAGCGATTTTCATGGCAAGGTATTTTGGAAAACAAAAATAAAAAAAAAACAATAAAGAAAATAAAAAATAGTAACAAAATCCATGCCTATATAAACCTAGAAAAATTAATTATTGAAAAATTAATTTTAAAAAATCCATGCCTATTATAATAGTCCTTGAAAAATTAATTTTAAAAAATCCATGCCTATTATAATAGTCCTTGAAAAATTAATTTAAAAAAATCCACGCCTATTATAATAGTCCTTGAAAAATTTATTTAAAAAAATCCACGCCTATCATAATAATAGTCCTTGAAAAATTAATTTAAAAAAATCCACGCCTATTATAATAGTCCTTGAAAAATTTATTTAAAAAAATCCACGCCTATCATAATAATAGTCCTTGAAAAATTAATTTAAAAAAATCCACGCCTATCATTGAAAAATTAATTTAAAAAAATCCACGCCTATTATAATAGTCCTTGAAAAATTAATTTAAAAAAATCCACGCCTATTATAATAGTCCTTGAAATTAAAAAAAAAATCCACGCCTATTATAATAGTCTTTGAAAAAATAATTAAAAAAAATCCACGGCTATTATAATAGTCCTTGAAAAATTAATTTAAAAAAAATCCACGCCTATTATAATTGTCCTTGAAAAATTATTTAAAAAAAAATCGACGCTCTTTAATAATTATTTTAAAAATCCAACGCCCCTTCAAAAATTAAATTAAAAACACGCCTTTGTTTAACCCTTTAAAAATAAATTCCACGCCTATGTTTTACCCTTGTGCATTTAAAAAAAATCAAATCTTTCAAAAATCGCTAAATTGTCATTACTGTTGCTACTCTCTATTGTAAACTGCATTGCTTGAATTTTGGCAGTTCTAATTTGAATTTTGCACCTCATGACCAGGGCTGCCAGATTTGACGATTTATCGTCATTTTGACGATTTTTTGGTCAAAAATTGAAAAATGACGATTTGACGATTTTTGCCCAAAAAATGACGATTTTTGGTCATTTTAGTAATATTGCAATATTTGGATTCTTTTTGTTATGGCAACATCAAAAATGTATAAAGCGAAAGAAAAAGTAAAAAGAATATGAATATTTGGCATATGTGTGTGAGGTATACTTTGTATTGTTACAAAGCCAACAACAGTTTACGTTTACCCAGATAGATGAAAAACTACCAATTAGCTGTGCCGTTCTCTGGGTAGACATCAACAAAACAAATAAAAGTTAACGGTTGTTGTTTTTTGACACGGGCAAATAGAAGAAAATTGGTGAACGGAAAAGTTGTTATTAAATTTAAGTTTCAATTTATACAAAGTTGTTACAATTTTAAAATGATTCGATTTGAAAGCATTTTTAAAATTGTATCTATGATAAGTCCCACGTATATTAGTTATTTCCACATTTTGTGAACGAAGATGAAAAACAAAAATTGGATTCAGAATTTCGCGAACTAAGGTTGTTTGATTTTGATTTGTGAAAATGATGAAACCGATTTATTTCCTTTTTTGGAATGCAATATTTGATTTGAAACGTGGTGATGGTTCATATGTTTTTCCTATAATAACTAAATTTGTACGGAAGGCAATGGTATTATCCCATTCCTCAGCAAATGTTGAGCGTGTTTTCAGCCAAGTAAATCTTAATAAAACGAAAAGTCGCAATTGCCCCCAATAAGGATTCAATGGAGAAATTTATACCAAAGATTATTTAAAAATTAACAAAACAAATTGTTACGATACGTTAATTAAAACCGACATGTTGAAAATAATTAACACAAATATTTCTTTTCAAAATGAATGACTTTATTAACACTAGAACGCCGAAGGCGGTCATTTTGACCGCTTTCCAATTTCAAGTACAAAAGCAACTGTGCATTTAATGACACTTTTATTTTAAATTTAGTGATTTTTTATAATAAACGTAGTTCTATGAGATACAAAAAGACACCAAATTTAAATAAAAAGTGTCTTTAAATGCACAGTTGCTTTTTTACTTGAAATTGGAAAGCGGTCAAAATGACTGCCTTCGGCGTTCTAGTGTTAAAGTCGAAATGACTATTCAAATATTTATTTATAAAATAAATGAATTTCTTGATTAGCTTTAAAAAACGTGTTTAATAAATTGAATACCTCTTTTATGTTCCTTTTAATAAAAAATATATTTAAATATATCTAAATGTGCGTATTTAAATTTTTGACGATTTTTGATAAAAAAAATCGTCATTTTGACGATTTTCCCAAAAAAAAATCTGGCAGCCCTGCTCATGACATCTCCACGCACCAACAGTTGTTGTGTGTGAGTGCGTAATGCAATGGAGTTTGCCAATTGGCTCTCTTCCGGTAACTCTCCATTCGTTTGATCCATTCATTGTTCTCGGAAATTTACTCGGCTTCAGTTCTTCTTTAAATGTCGTGAAGTGCGGTTGCGGGAATTCCTACGTAATAAGAAATCGATCGAATTGGAATATTAGTTTGGAAAAATCAAAATTATTTAATAAATGTCCCGGCAGAAGTTCGTTTTTTTATTCGCGAGTGAATTTAATTATTAAAATTTAAAAAAAAAATTAAATTTATAAAGCAAACAAATCGTGTGTGTGTGTGTCGCTTTGCCTTAATCGTGCTGTTGTGGTAGTTAAGTATTTTATTTCCTATTGAAATTCCTTTTCGTTTCCTTGTCCAAATGGTTGCGAGAAATATTCAATGTAAAATTGTTAAAATTGTGTGTCGATATGTTTTCGGGGTTTTTTTTATAATCGCGTTTAGATTTTCTTAAAAGAATAACCAATATTTTTCATTTTCCCCGTGTGTGTGCGTGTGCTTTTTGTTTTGTTTAGAAAATGCAAGCCCTCTCTACAAAACTGGACATGATATAAAGGTAAGAACAAGAATTATTTCGCAACTTCTAAAGAAAAAAGGCGCCAAACGCCGTTTGTTGTTAGTATCTGTTGTCATTATGGGACAATGTAACTGATTAGAGGAGAGTATAAGTGTTCTTCTCTCAGTGTTTCTTTCTCGGGTCTCTTCTCTTGTGATATTGTTTTGCTACACAGAGTGGGAGGTAATGGGGGGATAGATGTTCTTAACAAATACTGTTGTTGTGGTGTTGTTAAGAGTCTAAACGCAACCATAGAGTCTAGAGTCAGCGACAGTCGTTTGCCGTGTGTTTCTTATAGGCAACGGGAAATCGCGACGGCTGACGTTCGCGTTTAGCGGCATGACGCTAGAATAGATTTTATTCATTTTTGTGTCATACTGTTTCTCTCTTGCTCTCAATTGAGTTGCCATATTTTAGGTAAAAATCAACAGTGCTACCAAATTTCAATGAGAATTTATATCAAAACATATGGCAGTGCTGTTGAAAAAACAAATATTTTCAATGATTGTGGATGTTTTTTAACGAATTAATAATAAAATGGAAGAAAAATATATTTTTTCGATAATTTTATCCAAGTTCCTTGACATTATTGTTTATTAAATAATAAATTGATTTTGGTTTGCACAACGTAAAATTTTCTGTCAGAAAATGAAAACAAATAATTGACATTTTGTGCCGCTAACGCTAACTCTTTCGTTTGGTTTTCACGCCGGCGAAAAAGTATGACGCTGACTCGTGACTCTCTGGTTGCGTTTAGACTCTAAAGTGGGTGGTGTGGGGTGGATATCTCGATTGCCTAGCTCCATTGATTGATTGTGCATGCATATTAAATTGCGTCTGTGTGCTGTTGTGCTGATGATCTTTACATGGCTGTAACTTTGGTAATAATGATCGTATTAAGGTGAAATAAAAAGCATTTGAAAGGATAAGCCACCAACAAAGGCGTGGATTTTTTAAATAATTTTTTTCAAGAGTTTAATTTAACAAAGGCGTTGATTTTTTTTAAATAATTTTTTTTTCAAAGGGTTTAACAAAGGCGTGGATTTTTTTTTAAATAATTTTTTTCAAGGGTGGATTTTTTTTAAATAATTTTTTTCAGGGGTTTAACAAAGGCGTGGATTTTTTTAAATAATTTTTTTCAAGGGTGGATTTTTTTTAAATAATTTTTTTTCAGGGGTTTAACAAAGGCGTGGATTTTTTTAAATAATTTTTTTCAAGGGTGGATTTTTTTTAAATAATTTTTTTTCAAGGGTGGATTTTTTTAAATAATTTTTTTCAAGGGTGGATTTTTTTTAAATAATTTTTTTTCAGGGGTTTAACAAAGGCGTGGATTTTTTTAAATAATTTTTTTCAAGGGTGGATTTTTTTTTAAATAATTTTTTTTCAGGGGTTTAACAAAGGCGTGGATTTTTTTAAATAATTTTTTTCAAGGGTGGATTTTTTTTTAAATAATTTTTTTCAAGGGTGGATTTTTTTTAAATAATTTTTTTTCCAGGGTTTAACAAAGGCGTGGATTTTTTTAAAATAATTTTTTTTCAAGAATTTAACAAAGGTGTGGATTTTTTAAAATAATTTTTTCAAGGGTTTAACAAAGGCGTGGATTTTTTTTAAATAATTTTTTCAAGGGTATAACAAAGGCGTGGATTTTTTTTTGTTTTTGCAAAATAGTCAGGCTTAATCCCAGTTTGTTGCTTTTATAAAAAACAACAATTTATTAGTGGGGAATGTATGGCATTGTCCGCCGAGGGGTAAGGCAGGGAAGACTATAGTTTCGGATCTCGCCACTGATCCTCATCAGTTCCCTTAGTTTTTTGTTGGGATATTCTCCCCAGAAGCTATTAATAGCTTCTTTACAAAAAACCTTTCAAACCCAAATGTCTCTTGTGACAATTCGAAGTTCTTACGTTACCAGCGATACGACCCCAATGAGAAGTTCGTTTTGTTGGCGCCTGACTTCGTGGTCCACAAGGCATTTACAGACAACTACAACACATTTCCCACTGCTATGTGTCGTCACTTTGTGACGAATGCACATAACGTTGTTGTTGGTATTGCTAGTTAAAGCAATAAACCAAACAGTATGACCGTGCCTCGTCTACAACTTCAGTAGTGTTTGGCGGGTTATTTGGGATACCATTTGTATTTTGTTTTTGCAAAATAGTCAGGCTTAATCCCAGTTTGTTGCTTTTATAAAAAACAACTATTTATTAGTGGGGAATGTATGGCAGTGTCCGGAGGGGTAAGGCAGGGAAGACTATAGTTTCGGATCTCGCCACTGATCCTCATCAGTTCCCTTAGTTTTTTGTTGGGATATTCTTCCCAGAAGCTATTAATAGCTTCTTTACAACAAACCTTTCAAACCGGCGGACAATGCCATACATTCCCCACTAATAAATAGTTGTTTTTTATAAAAGCAACAAACTGGGATTAAGCCTGACTATTTTGCAAAAACAAAATACAAATGGTATCCCAAATAACCCGCCAAACACTACTGTGGATTTTTTTTAAATATTTTTTTCAAGGGTTTTATTAAATTAATTTTTTTAAATTATATATCTCAAGAGAAAAGTAGTGTTAAGTGACTGATCACTAAAATTTTATAGACGAAGCGGCTGAATACAAATTTTAAGTGTGGGTTGTTGTTGGTGTGTAGGCGTGTTTTTGGAAATAGAAAGGTACGAAAAGTACAAAAATGTACCAAATATGGTACCCTTTTGTATTTAAATGCGTATATAGAGATGGAAGCCTGAAAATTGGGGAAATGGGGTACAGGATTGAGGTAGCTTTAAAAAATCTTACTTATACGAAAAGTACTAAATGGTACTAAATTTGGTGCAAGTTGGATTCAGGAGCCTTGAAATTGGCATTTAAAATGACTGTTGAAGTGTAGGATTGTGGTAGTTTAAGAAATTCGTACCTATTGATACAAAAAGTACTAAATGGTACTAAATTTAGTACAATTTGGATTTTGGGAGAGCGGATAGGGCTGAAAACCTGAAATTTGATATTAAGATTACTGTTGAAGATTGAGCTATATAGAGAGAGACATCTTTGAAAATTCGTATTTATGTGTACGAAAATGTACTAAACGGCACTAGATTTGGTACAATTTGGATTTTAGGAGAACGGAGAGAGCTGGAATCCTAAAATTTGGAATAATTGTTGCTGTTGGAATATAAAATTGAGATTAATTATGTTTTAACGGATAGAGGAGGTCTCCAGAATTTTTTTTTTTTTTTTTAATTTTTTGAACTTTGCAAGTATTCCTATAAATTCTTTAGTTTTGTTTAGTTTTCATTATTTTTCAAATCTCAAAAAAAAAAAAAATGGACTTCCACCCAAAAAAAATTCTTCACCAATTGTGTGTATTTAAAAAAACAAAAATGATTTTATTAAGATCTATTTTTTTGTTATAAGTAATTATGAGACCTTAAATTAAAACGATTCTATATTTTTTCCTTTCTCTTTCAAAATATGATAAAAAATATATGCATATATTGATTTTTATTAAAAGAAAGTATAATAGATTTATATAACAGAAAATAATAAACAAAATAAAAAAAATTAAATACAAAAAAGAAATTCATAAAAAAGGTAGCTAAAACGGTTAACTGATTTCGAATTTAAGGCGAAGTATAAAAGCGATAAATAAAATGAATTTGAATTTATGGCAAAGGGAAGGATTTTTTCAAAATAAAAAAGGGAATTTTGAGGTGTAGAAATATATTTTTAAAATTAAAAAAAAATGGTGATAAAATAATGAATTCGAATTTTAATGCAATGTATTAAAAAATACATAAACAGGAATACAAAAATTAATTCAAATGTTAGCAGAGGATAATAGAAATGAATTCGAATTAAATGCAAAAAATATTTAAAAAAGGGAAATAAAATAATGAATTGGAATTTAAGACAAAAGGGGTAAGAATTAAAAAAAATACAAAAATTAATTCAAATTAAAGGCAAAAAATCGAAATTAAAATGAATTGGAATTTAAGTTTGAAAATTAAAATATCCAAAAACAAAAAAAAAAAAAATCATAAAATGTCTCCTTTTAATAAAAAATTAATTTTTTTATACATCGTGTTGAAATGAACATATTATGCCAATATTTAAAATTAATTGTTTTTAATTTAAAATCGAATTCTTAAGTAAAACGAAATGTAAAGCCATACAAAATCAACTTGAAGCCATGTAATTTAAGGGGTAAAATAACCAAACGTATAAAAATTTGAATTGGTTTTTAAAAAGGTACCATATCGATTTTTTCTTCTTCTTTTTATTCATTCCTAAAAAAACAAAATAATCTAATTTCAGTTTTTATACACAGTGTTAAACTCTTCTGGCCATATAAACAAAAAAAGGTAGAGACAGAAAGAGAGAGTGAGAGAGAAAGAGAGGAGTTTGATAACAAAATTGTAAAGCAAACAATCGTATCGCACGACCGACCACTTGTTGTAGCTCTTGTTGTTGTTGTTTTTTTATTGTTGTTGTTTTTTTATTATTATTATTGATAAACCAAGAAATTTTCCATTTTTGTTATCTTCTGGGCAAAAGCCTTGCCCATTTCGGTGGGCGCACTAAAGGCAATTTTATCCAATGGTATCTCTTCACCATAAATGGTGTTTAATTGCACTGCTTGTATTAGTTTGCTGGCGATGTGGAAACGTCGATGTAAGGGTGAGACCCAAATGCGGGATATGCCACATCTAGAAGAGAAAAAGGGGAAAATTATTTAAAAAAATATGTCAAAATCGAAAAATATCTCCACTTACTTGGCCTCAAATTCCTCCTCCGTACAACAATCCACCCCGTTAATATTTATATATTTATTTGCCTTATCCAATGGCTGTACCAAGCATAGGCCCACAATTTGCATTTTCCTCACCGCAAAATAGGCCATAAAAGTTTTTGGTATAATGTACGATGCAAAGCCCAGCTCTTTATCGACAATTTTTAATATATCCATTAGCCGCTCCCTGCGCTTAAGGGGTGAGGTTTCGGTGAGACGTATAATGCGACCATCGGGACCCCATTCAGGGTATATGGCCATAATGTCTTCATCAATCCATCCTTTGAAACGCAAAACATGCAGCGAAGCATGGAAATCTCGATGGAGTTTTTCCTCTTCCGGCTCATGAGCCGTATAAACCAGGCCACACTGCTTACACTGATGGGCACCAAATTCTTTTTGCCCAGCATCGATTTGATATTGATTTGAACCATAGCCAGCATTCCAAGATCTCTGCACATGTTTACGTTTTGTCTGGGGTATTGATAAGGGTTGACAGCCTCCTCCAGGGTAAAATATAGGGAACAATTTGGGGGTGTTATTCTCCGAGGCAACCGCATTGGGCGCCACAACAACATTCGATGTCATTTGTTGCTGTTGCTGCTGCTGTGGGTGACTACTACTACTGTTATGCATATTCCCCGGTATCATGGTCACCACGTGTTGATTATGTTCCCCTATTGCCTCCGTCACATATGTCACCCCACTTGCCGCATTGGCCGCCGCCATTTCATCTTCATGTTTCAACTTAACATCCAATGCCATATATTGAGCCAATATGGCATCAGCTTCCTCCTTTCTTTGTTCATAATTCGCTATGAATATATCGAAATTTTCTTCTGTACACAAGGCGTTCTCTTCCATAAAGGCCAAAAAGGCCTCCTGCTGAGCAATCAACTGCGGATCGGTGGTATTATAGGGTATTTTGTGACGGAAATCCTGCTGTTGACCCGTCACCACCATAACCAAATCATCAATAATACGTTCCGCCTCTTCTTTGTGATTATCAGGATCCGCAATAAATATCGTAAAGTTTTCTTCCGTACAAATATTATTCGTAATCAGGAAATCGAGAAGTAAATGTTGCCGTTCTATAATTTCTGGATCTGTGGTATTGTAGGGTAATCGCTTTATAAATTCGTGATAATCAGGTTTGATATCGTCTTTAATGTCCTGCTGCAGACAATTATCTCCCGCATTTGAATTACATTCTTGATTATGCATGAGCGAAAGTTGCATATCGATTTCATCCAGAAATTCATTATTGTTCAGGGTATCAGTAGCGCCGCTATTAGCATTCAATGTTTGTTCCTCCTCTTCTTCATCTTGCACCTGTTCAATGATATCACCAAAGGCGGTGTCATCAAGATTCCGCAAAATAGCCTCAACAGTGGCCTGTTCATCGGAAAATTCACTGGCAACTGGAATGAAAGGGGGAAAAAGAAGGAGAAATTGTTAAAAAGTTTTCAAAATACAGAAAATTAATGAGGGAAGCCGAATCGAAGCTACCCCGAATCGTGCAACAACCTAGATAATTTTTACGGGAAGATTTTTTAGCCAATTGAGAAGCCAAAATATCAAATTAGAGCCCCTTTGCAACGTATACCCTAACGAAAAATTAAGAAAAACTGAGGTTCCGCTGCATGGGGGCTATTCGGAAGAGTGGACCGATATTGATTATTTTTTGCAGGGAGGTATACCACCTAATGAAAACCCAAAATCTCAAATTACAGCAAATTCGCTTGGGAAAATGTGTCGAAAATCCGAAAAATTGATTTTCCGTTCTTTGGGGTCTAGACCTTGAATTAGACCTATAGGGGTATTTTTGGTAGAGACATTTGCTAAGCAATCAAATTACAACCCATTCGGAATGTAAATGTGTCGAAAAATATAGAAAGAACTGGTGTTCCGCTGCATGGAGGCTACTCTGAAATGCGTACCGATATTGATGATTTTTTGCAGGAAGGTGTTCTATCCAGTGCGAAGACAAAATATAAAGTTACAGCCAAGTCACATGGAAAAATGTGTCGAAAATCCGAATAAAGGATTTTTCGTTATATGGGGTCTAGACCTTAAAGTGAACCGATGTTGATGATTTTCAGTAGGGAGGTGTTCTACCTCGTGAGAACCCTATATATCAAATTTCACAAAATTCGCATAGGAAATTATGTCTTAAAACCGAAATATCGATTTTTCGTTATAAGGGCGCTTTACCTAAAAGTGGACCGATGTTGAATGTGTCCAAATCCGAAAAATGGAGTTTCGGTTATATGGGAGCTATTTTTAAAGATGGACCTATATTGATCATTTTTGGTACGGAGGTGTACCATCCAATTAGAACCCGATATTTTAAATTACATGCAATTCGCGTCAGAAACTGAGTCGAAAATTCGAAAAATTGGTTTTCCGTTATATGGAGGCTATTCCCAAACGTGGGAATATATTGATCATTTTTGCAGGGAGGTGTACCACCCAACGAGAACCCATAATATCAAATTACAGTAAATTCGCTTAGAAACAATGCACCAAATCCTTAAAAATCGGAAAATAGGGTAATCGGGGCTATACATGAAAAGTGCACAAGTGAAAAAAGTGCACAAAACCTATAAAATTTAGAAAATCGGGCAATGGGAGTTATATTTAATTAAATGTGGACCAATGTCCATAATTTTTGGTTGGGAGATTTGCCACACAATGAGTAACCAAAATGTCCAATTACAGCCAATTCGGTTTCAAAACCCTTCAGAAAATCATCAAAAGATCGAAAATAGAGGGTAATATTTTGTGGGGGCTATGCCTAAACCTGGGCCAAATCAATTCATATTTCCGAACCTGACATGCCAGCAGGCAAAATACCCTTGTGTAGAATATTTCAGCTTTCTAAAGCAGATATTTCGGAAGATGGCTGAAGAAAGACCAACGGACCTCCTCTAAAACTTTTACACAAATACATTAGAGGTTCTAAAATTCGAAATCATATTCAAATTGATATTTTCTATAATAAAGTGTATATAAACAAAATAATACAACTCACCCGAATTTCGTATCTTAAGGCGTTTCTTAACCTTCTTCTTTTCCTCCACCAGCCGCAGCTTACCATTTGCCTTCACCGTGGCTCTTATATTATCGGTTATCTTCACCTCCTTCTTGGTATTGGTCTGTCGGCCAGATTTGAAAAATTTCCTCTTTGTACTACTAACCGATACGGCATCATCCGACTTGGTGGATATTGCATCTTCATGTTTAACTATGGGTATTACTTCCTCATCCATGGCACGCAGGGCACTTGCAAATGCGGCATTATCATCCTCCTCCTCATCCTCTTCCACTGAATCACATTCAATATCTGAGAAATCGGTATCATTGTAAATGCTATTTCTCGCCGACAGGGATTGGGAAGAACCATAACAAGTTTTGTTGTTATTATTCAGTAAAGGCTTTTCATCCACCGCTGGCAAATTGTTATTATTGCTATCGTCCTGTAGTGAAAGGCAGCTCAACGGTTTCGCCATGGCAATGGGATTGGAAGCTTGGCGGAAAATGCTATGCACCTTTTCGATTTGTTGCTTCTGCTCACGTTTTGTGGTAATGAGGTTTCGTAACTTCTCATTGCGAACATTACTTAGAATCCGTTCAATGTCCACGGGGGCGTAATGTCGCTGCGGTACATTCATGGAGGTACGCTTTTTAACCTTGTGGCGTACTCCCCGATTGATTACCATTGAATCACTGCGACGACTTTTCGGTGCTCTTGTGGTGGATGAGTAGGTGGTGGGGGATGTGTTAGTGTTCGGACTTGTTCGATTGCTGGAGCCAAAAAGATTTCGACATGTTGTACGATTGTTGTTGTTATTGCTGGGTGATGTTTTTGCTCCCGAATAAAATGATTTGGTTGAAATCGAACCCGATTCCAAGGGGGATATGCTCTTTTTGGCAATTTTGCGCATTGGACTTAACCTGTTGAGCCATCGGCAACACAACGTTTATTTAGATTCTTTTTGATCCTTTCACGTTTATCCTCCATGCCACCACCATCCTCTTCATTATCGGCATCCTCATCGCCATCTTCACTGGAAGTCTCATCTATGACAATGGACTTTTCACGTGGTGTAATTTGCATTGAATTGCTAAACATTTTCTGTAGCTGCTTATCTTCTTGTTGTTGTTTACGACTGGGCGTCTTGATGGGTATGTTTTCTTTGTGCGGTGAGCTGGACAGCTCTGAACCAGATTTACTGGAGTTGGGTGAGTGGCCACCCTTTTTGCCACTCAAGCGTAAACTCCGTCTTGTGGAAGGAGAAATTTTGTCCGACGTCGGAGAAGGTCTCTCCACCAATTCCGCCTCATCGGAATCCAGCTCAAAGAAGCTTATAATGCGTGGCGTTTTCTTACATGAACCAGCAGCGCCGCCGCCGCTGCCACCACCCATTAATGCTTCTAGATTTTTTGTACTTTTAGGTGTCTTTTGGTTGTTGTGATTACCTGCTGCCCCCGCAGCCGAATATTTTGTAGATAAAGGCTTAACCCCAATCATCATGTCTTCATCATCATTATCTGCATCAAGTTTGGAGTCGAAAAGTTTCTTTTTCCGTTCCGATAATCGGGGAGTGTGCGTACGCATGGAGCGTATCTGTTGGGCTGCACTTTTAGGTGTCTCCATTGCTTTAGGGCATTTAATTGAAGTTTTCCAATCTTTCCCAGGCTTTTTTTTATGAAAGAAAATAAAAGTTTTCTTGTCTTTTTACGTGGCACTATTTTCCTTCGCACACACACACTCTTTCACTTCTACGCGATCGTTCGTTCCCCTTTAAGAACACACACACGATTTTCCTTAAGATTTTCTTCAGAAATTTTCCTTATGACGTCTGTATTGGCCTGTCGTCTGTGAATATTTTGAGCGCGAAGATAAACATGTGTTAACATTGCCAAGTGAATGTCCGGGTTGACTTTCTTTTTTTCTTCTGTTTTTATTGCGTCTTGCTTTATTTTGTCTTCACACAAGTAGATTTGTCCCCAGATTCTTGGTATGGGGTCGATTACCATTCAATTGGTCAATCTGTCTGTCAATCCGTCGTCGTCGCTGCCGCCGTGTTTGGTTGGGTGGTTGTTGCTATTAAAGCGCGCAATGTAAACAGATGTTATCAATGCGTAGTGAGTGCGTGTGTGTCTGATCACACAGTAGTCTATACATGTCAGTGCTGTTGTATATGGTACTCTTTATGTGATTGCCATGTTCATGATCTCATGCAGGCAATGAGAGAGACTACGATTAGTGGGAGACGTAAAGGGGAATTTAAACAATTAATTATTAATTTTAATGGAAATATTTAAATAAAATTTATTAATAGCGGTGGTTGTATGGTATTTATAATAATTAAAAATAAAATCAACAACAAATTTGCCTTTTAATAATAAGGAGATATTCATTATCAATGGAGTGGGAGATGAGAGAGAGAGAGAGAGTCATGAATACTGTTGATTAGTGGAGACGTAACGTAGCATTATGTGAAATGACATTTACTTAAAATTAGCTGTTAAATCATAATTAAAATAATAAATTAAGCAGATAAATACAATGTTTTATAGAATATATTAATATTATTACATTATATAATTATTTAAAATTTAATTTAACCAATAATAACCACAAAATACCTACTGTGATGGAAGTCTGGATATTGTGATCTAGGGATTAGTATTGGAATGGAAAGTTTTTCCTCCCGAATAAAATGATTTTGTTGGTTGAATCCGTTTCCAGCGGTGATATTCTTTTTTCGCCATTTTGCGCATTGGACTTAAACCGACTTCGTAGATATTGCATTTTCATGTTTAACTATGTACTATTGCCTCTTCATTCATTGCATCAAATTCATTCTCCTCCATCCATCCGGTATCGCTATAAATGCCATCTGTCGCGGTCATAGAGGAATAGAATACATTGTGACAGTACGAGAGTGTATCAGCTGATCATCCTAACATAGCATGTGTTATTGTCTTATTCAAAAGCATATATGTAAAGTGTCTGTACGAAATACAACTCTAAATATGGTGTCTAGTTCTGTCACATATAAGCTTAGTTCCCGAACGCCACAAGAATTGATTTCTTTTGCATTTTTTTTTTACCAGAGAAACGTTTTCGAACATGAAATAGTTGTAAAATCTCAGGATCTACCCAGAACTTGCAAGGTACTTCTATTAATTGAAATTATTTTCGATTTGTCTTTTATTAATTTCAAAAATTTTAGACCTTTTTGAGTATAGAAACAGACAAAATATTTGTGCAAATTTGTTTTTATATTTTTAAGGCTACTTCATAGTTTTCTGAATTCCGCCATTATTTCGTTTAAAACTTCATTCTATGGAGTTGTCGTCAATGAAGAAAATATTCTATATAAAATTTTACTAGGGATCCCCAACAACAAGATAACTGTGGTGGACATAAAAAACTCTCAAATACCACAATTTTAACCGCATAAATGCACTATACGATTTCTTAAAATTTGTTTTCGAAATTGGGCCATTATGTACCATAATATTTTATCCTAGGGGAAAAGTGTATATGGAGTAAATATTCTACATCAAATTTCATTATGGGCCTCCAAATATACGTAATCTGTAGATACAATATATATTCCACAAATCTTATAAATAATACAAAGTACCAAAAATTTATATTATTTTTTTGGCGAACTTTCGAATTCCGCCATTATAAGGTATAAAACATCGTTCAAGTGAAATATTGTCAATGGACAAAATATTCTACATAAAATTTGACTAGGGGTTTTCTGCAACAAGATCTCTGTATATATTATAAATGTTCCTGAAATCCAGGTCAAAAATCCAATATGATTTTTAGTAGCTGCTTATATGAAGATTTCGGAAATGGTCCATTATCTCCCATAATTCTTCATGCTAGGTGAATAGTTTCAATGGCGGAAATATTCTACATAAAATTTTACTATGGGTCTCAGAAGAAATGTAATATGTACAAGCGATATATATTCCGCAAATCTTATAAATAATGGACCTGCTAAAAAATCTATAATTTTTAGGGTGTTAATTTCATGGTTTTCCAAAATCCGCCATTATATCGTATAAAACATCGTTTTAGTGGCATGTGTCTTCTGCCGCAGCTGATATCCAGCTGATCAGGATAATCAGCTGATTCTCAAGATTACTGTCAAAACAAATCAAACTCCCTCGGCAATTTCTTATTCCACCAAATGACGTTAAAATTAATATAAATAACATTTAGTAACAATTTACACAAATCAGCTGATCATGTTTGCATCAAGGTCTATTAAAAAGATTACGCAGGAAGATCAGCTGTTTCTCAAGCTTGATATAAAAAAAATAAATAAAAAAGGAATTCGATTTTTTATTTAATTTCGTATTCTACCAAATGTTAATAAAATTTATAAAAATGACATTTAGTAACAATTAACCACAAATCAGCTAATCATGTCTGCATCAAGACCTATTAAAAACAACCCCTTGGATGATCAACTTATTCTGAAGGTTGCTGTCAAAAAAATCGAACTCCCATCGTAATTTTGTATTACATTAAATGGCCTTAAACATTTTTAAAGACAGTAACAATTTACCATGCATCAGCTGATTATGTTTACATTAAGGTCTGTTAATAAGTTCACCCTGTGAGATCAGCTGTTTCTCAAGTTCGCTATCAAATTTCCATTATTGTGAATTGATTTGGTAAGAATATGCAAGAAATTATGTTGATCAAGTTTATGTCAATGCCTATTAATAATCGAAAGATCAGCTGCTTCTCAAGGCTGCTGTCAAAATCGATTATACGGAATTTTCTTCACATCATCAAGATCTATTAATAAGGTCACACAGCAAGCAAAAGTCTGCTGTTTTATTTACTCTAATGTGAAAAATGTGGACTTTGTTTACGATTTTATAATGGGAGTCTATTCACAATAATGGATTTTGACAGCAAAATTTGAGAGGTAGCTGATATCAAACTGGTCTCCCTGGACGACCTTATTAATAGGCGTTGCACATTATAAAACCCTAAAAAACGTCCCAAATTTTGATATTAAATCGAAATACTACAGCTGTTTTTCGCTTCCTATGTGATCTTTTTAATAGGACTTCTTCTGCATATAAGAACTTTTGACAGGACATATTACATTGTAGGCTCATCTGTTACACCCTTTAATAATAGGCCATAGTATATTAATAAAGTCACCCAAGAGAGGAAAACAGTTGAACGTCAACAATTTTAACGTTATTTACAAGATCTATTAATAAGGTCACCTAATAAACGAAAGTCAGCTGTTTTTCCTTAAGTCTAATGTCAAAAATTTGGACTTTGTTTACGTTTTCATAATGAATGTCAATTCACAATAATGGATTTTGATATCGAGCTTGAGAGACAGCTGACAACCAGCTGGGCTTCCCGGATGACCTTATTAATAGGCCTTGAATATTTACATTGTAATAATTTGAAGTCAATTTACAATAATGGATTTTGACAGAAAACTTGAAAAGCATATGATTTGCAGCTGATCTTCATGGGTAACCTCATTAACAGGCCATGGCCTTGCTTTTTTTTTTACATTTCCATATGCTTTATGTAAAATAGATTACATTTTGACAGCACGAGAGATTATCAGCTGATCCAAGATCTATAAATAAGGTCACCCAGCATACGAATATCAGGTGCTTTTCTAAAAGTCTGATGTCAAAAAAAAATTGAATTTTTACGTTTTCATAATGAAAATCAATTCACAATAATGAATTTTGATAGCAAACATGAGAAACAGTTATATGCAGCTGGTCTCCCTGGATAACCTTATTAATAGGCCTTGAATATTAATATTTTCATAATGTGAAGTCAATTCACAATAAATAATTTTATTGTGAATTGAGAATAATTGATTTGCAGCTCATCTTTCTGGCTGACCTTATTGATAGGCCTTGGATTTTGTTTACATTTTAATATGACTAATTCAAAATAGAATGCATTTTGACAGCACGTGGGAGAATCAGCTGATCTCCTTACTACATTATGCTACGTTTACATCAAACGTGTTTTATGATAAACTATCAGCTGATTGTCATTTCCTTTGCACATTTGTCAAAATAATGATTCTTTTATTAAATAAAACAAAAAAATATTTCAAATTAATTACAATTTTTTATTTTTTTTTTCCTAATTCTATACCTATTCTAGTTACATATCACAGTAGAAAAATTTATAAATTAAAATCTATCGAACATATCACAAAAACATCTTGGAAGTTAAACTATGAAATTATCTAGAAAATATCACAGATTCCATCCATGGAATATATTTGCTAACTCTGGTATAGATCCCAGGCAGGCCAGGCCGCGCACAGCCAATGCCCGTTGAGACGACACCAATCAAGAAGTTTTCCTTGGACATCAGGGGGCCACCAGAATCGGCCTAAGGGGAAATAGAAAAAATAAACAATTAATAAATAAATTTCAAACACAAAATCTCAAATATCCTCAAGAAGAAAAAATAAAATTCGAATGTTACCCAGCATGAATCAATGCCACCATTTTCATAACCCGCACACATTTGCGTATCACTTATAACACTTGAGGGCCTTCCATTCAATTGATAGGACTTCTCACAGGCATTATTATTCCATACACGGACAGTGGCCTTGCGCAGGACATCCGAACGAGAACCCTCCGCTTGATTTTCATTGGTCCAACCCCAGCCGGAGACAGTGGCCAATTCATTTTCATTGCTACGCAAGAGATCGGAATTCAGGCAAGATGGCTGGATATATTTCGAAAATGCTATGGGCTGTAATACTTCCATTAGGGCTTTACAAAAAGAAAATGAAATACAAAAATAGAGAAAGTCAAGAAAAAGAAAAAGAAAAAAAAAAAAAAATATATTAGTATCCGATCCTCCTCTTTTAAAAAATTAAAAAAAAAATCTCAAGAAGTGTTTTTTCAAGTACCAATATCATTTTTCGTATTCGTGCATTGATAATTCGGATGCGGTATTATATTTTTGAAATTCACTTGCACCGGTGCAGCTCCATCCCGTTCATTGTGTATGCCATTCAAATATTGCGATATGCTGTGCAGACCCACAACACCCTGTATTTGTGAGGGTTTCATAAATTTATTCAGTCCATTGCAGATGCAGTGCCCTGCCGTTAGTATCCATTTTTCGTGTATTATTGTGGCACCACAAAAATGTCCACCGCGCCGTGTTAGACTAACCATATAGGGCATTTCATGTCGATCTGCCTCGAGGCCACCGACAATTTTGGGATTACGTTGTGAGCATGATGAATGTGATGAAACTGTAAACGGGAACATTTGTTGGTTGGGTTTTTGCGTTTACCTACCTTGGTATTATGTGGTTTTCCCCGGGGAGCGCATATTTCAAGTTTTACCTACCATTTTGACCCAGTAATAAAATAATGAAAGTGAAAAATGCCTTCATTCCTCAATCCATGGCGTTACTAGATATCAAATAATCAAGGTAGTCTCTAATCTCATAATATCCTAAGGGGTATCGAATTTGTTTTCCTGAAACCTGAAAGTATATAGAAAAGAAAATATGATGTTATATAAAAAATCACCACATTTTTAGCGGTGTCTAAGAGATTAAATAATTTGGAAGAAATTTTAAAAATTAAAAAAATAAGTTCTTTCATAAATTTTGATGCAAAATGTATTACCAATTATTAAAAAGACCAAGAAAATTTGATTACTCAATGCTGAGAACATAAAAACGTCGCATGTACTAATGGAGAAAAAATTATAAATATGGCAACATTCATTCATATATCTGTTACAAGAAAGACGATGTAAACAAAGAATTACAAATAATAATATATAAACAAGTAAAAAACTCAAAGCAGGTGTTTCGGTGTGGTGTTTCGAAATACATGTTCTCTCTTCGAGGGTAAACTTAAATATAACGAAGATCATCGCTTAGAAGTTGAAGCTTTACAATAATTGATGGTCGGGTTTTACCGACACAGCAAAGTTTTCCAAAATTTCACAATTGAATTTTTTTCTAATTTCAGAGTCATAGAACGAGGTTTAACGTGTATATTTGGGTTCAAAAAAAATCGTTTGCAAGTTTTGATTTATTGTGTTTTTCCGGATACCGTTCCATTAGTTTAATCAGGGAAAATGTCAGTTGTATTAATGGAGAAATAATTACAAATATGGCAAGATCTAAAAACTGTTATAAGAAAGACGATGTAAACAAATAATCACAAATAAGAAATAAACAAGCCAAAAAGTAGCACTGCACTATGCTTCGAAACAGGATCTATTAATAGGGTCAACCAGCTAGCGAAAGTGTGCTGTTTTTTCTCAAGTCTAAAGTCAAATGGTTGGAAATAAAATATTCTATAATTTTAGATGCACATAATTTATTTTTTTCAGAAGCACAAAATGAGGATCATATAAGAGTCAGAATATAAAGTGAACCTGAAGAATTCGGCTGTTCTAATATCGAAAAAGGTATAATTATGGCAACATTCATATATACCTTTATAAGTAAGACGATGTAAACAATGAATTACATATAATAATTAAATAACAAATAAAAACTGTACGTTGTTTCGAAATATATGATTTCCCCAGAGACCAAATTTGAGTGTAACATGAGTTTCGCGTAAAACATGCGAAAAGCTCTACAACTATGGATGGTTGGGTTTGACGGGACTAAGCTAAGTTTTCCAAAAATTTAGAAATGAAATCTGCTCCAATTTCATATTCACAGAAATAATTTTTGAAGTATATAAGAGCCGGTACGTGAATATATATATTCAAAATGAACTTGAAAAGATCGGTTGTTTTAATATAGAATATAAATATGGCAACAATTATATATACCGTCATAAGTAAGACGATGTAAACAAAAAAGTCAAAAATTTGCATTGCACGGGGAAATACATGACCCAACCCAAGGGAAAATGTAATAATATGTGATGTGATGTAATAATACAGTTACAAAAATATTCGATAAGTACAAAGAGATGAAAAATGTGGATGACTTTCCGAAAAAAGGACAAGAAGGCAAGAAGATTTAAGGCCAATCATGGGGAAAGTGCAGTTAAATAGCAGAAGAACGGACAATTATATTGGGAGAAAGTGTAATTGCCAGAACTGTTCGCAGAGCTCTATATGAACATGGGCTATATGGTAGAGTTCCCACAGAAAAAAACCGTTTATTTGGATCTGATGGCAAATCTTTGAGAGAAATTGGCAAATGTCATAATAATGTTAAAAAATATTTGATAAATACAAAAAGGTGAAGAAATGTGGGAGATTTTCCTCGTCTTGAATCGGATACAATTTTATCCGACTCCGAAAAGAGAACAATAGCCAGAATAGTTAATGCCAATCCCTGGGAAAGTGCAGTAAAAAGTAGCAGACGAACGGACAATTATATCAGGAGAATGTCTAATTGTCAGTATTGCTCGCAGAGCTCTATATAAATATGGGTCATATGCAGTGTTTATATTCGCTAAAAACCAAAGTAAAGACAATTTGTTTTGGGAAAATGTTTATTTACTGATGAGAGCAAACTGGCAATTTTTGGAAGAAAAAACAAATAAAAAGGTGCCAGTCTGTTTTGCCGACAGATATATACCCTCGGATGTCTTCGGAATTACACACATGTTTTATTATTCGTTTTTTTTTTTAAAGTTTACAAAATATTGACCCCTTGTGAGGGAGAGACCTCACACCACACGAATTGTCAACGAATGGCCGCTTTAAATTTAAACCTCTAGATCCGAAAATGTGTCATAAATAGCAAGGAGTCCCTTAAATGGTTTTTTGGTCATTTAAGAAAACTTATCTATTAGATGTATCAGAGAAATTTGTTGAAATTCACGAATCAATGGCAATGGTTAGTTAGAGAAGTTCAGCGAGAAGAAATTTAATCAGCATGTGTATTTTTGGCCAGTCAATTCATAATTGAATGTTTTGAGATGTGTCCTATGAGTCAGCGTTTCAAATATTAGCCTTCTGCTATATGTGATGCCATCATTTTTGGGTGTGATATACATGCATGCTTGTTACTGTGTACCGACAGGAGTAACTTCTGCAGAACATTTTTTGTTTCTACTTTCTTTCAGCATTGTTGTACAATTGCTTAGACAGTAAGGTCTATTACGACTAACAAGAATATAATGCCGACATATAAAGGACCTTATGTAGTGTGTAAAGTACTTCCGAATGACCGATAAATATGTACTGAAAATTTCGAGATCACGCAAACACCCTATGATGGAGTAATTGAGGTCTGTAATATAAGGCATTGGAAATCAGAAGACTCTGTTAGAGGCACCTAGGGCTGCTCTTGACGCTATTGTAAATTTATATTGTCACAACCGTCAGGTTGGTCGTGCTGTAGTAGAATTTTTTAGATAGGCATCATTGGAAAAAATACAACTCTGTTAATGATTACCGACTATCAATTAGACTTAAGGATTCAAATGCAACGAATCAAAGAAGGCGCAATAAAAGAATTTACAGTCCAAATGAGTGCTTAAAAGTAAATATGATGTACATAACAATCCAAAGAATTGAAGGAGTAGTTTGGTTGCTAAAGGATTTACGCAGCGCCAAGGTGTACATTTTAATGAAAACTTTTCGATGCAATCAGTATATATTTCAATGGAAAACTTAAAGAAACCTTAAATATGCCCGAAGTATGCAGAGATGGTTCAAAGAAGGCATGCAAACTGGAGAAATGCCTGCATGGATTGAAACCATCTAGTAGAGAGTGGAACAAGGTTGTAAATACTAAAATGCTGGAAATAGGTCTTGTGCGAAGCCAAATCGATAAATGCATATATCATGATATCATCATCGGGTATAAACTATAAGACAATTAAAATTTTAAAGAAAAAACAATTACAAGCATACAAGATGAAAGTTGTGGGAAATGTATCAATGGATTTTGTAATGAAGATCGCCAGAGGCGTAGATCAAATCAGAAATCAAGAAATCAAACTGTGATTTCAAAGAATGGCCAAGAGAAGGAGCAAATGGCGTTTCATTACAGAAATAAAAGCAATTTGTTGCCTCTTCTATGCAGCACATATATCGCGTCCAGATATACCCAATGTCGATAATATTTTAGGCACGAACCGTGACAAAGCTCATTGATATAAAACGTGTTAAGCTTTACTTAAAAAGGTCCCTTGATAAAGGATTAGATTACAAAGCAAATATTGAGGATACAAATATGACCAACATTTGAATATGCGTATATTGAATATTATGCGAACCCAACCAACCCCCCCCCCCATTCTCGATTTCAATTTTTCAAGATTTTCAATGGGCTGGTAAATCAATACCAATGCTTGTTAAGGTTTGTAACTTTGCACATATATAATTGAAGATTTAAAAGAGATGAAAAGATGACTTCGCTCTAAAATTAACCTTTGAAAAAATATTTTTGGAAAATCGTAGATTTTTTACCAAAAACCAAGTTAAAAAATAAGGAAGATCTTCACCGATTGGCTTTATCCTAGTTCATACGAGAGCTATACACTCCCAGAGAAACGTTGCAAAATTTGGAACCGATTGCATTATTCGTTTTTGAGTTATCGTGCCCGCCATTCGCAAAAAAATGTTTAGAGAAAAACGCGTTTATAGTTTGAGAATCCCTTCAGCCGTCACTTGGTGCTGACACAATAAATGGGCTATATCTTCAAGAGTTCCTGAGATTTTCACTTGAAAATTTGTAGAGACATTATTTAATCAGTGTAGATTCGAATTTTATCAAAAAAAATTTTGACCCCGAGAATGGGGGGGGGGGTTTCCCATTAAATAAAAAAATTAATTATGAAATGAAGGTAATTGTTGGCTAGAGAAAAACAAAATATTTTTTATCCCTTTTGTTGTTGTTGTTTAAAAAAATAAAAAATATATATATGTTCTTATAAACTTATTTTATTATGTTCAACTTACCTGTTACAAATGTCTAGGAAGCAAAATAACGCCACTTTTTACTCGGATTACAATGAAAAGCTCGTTGGTGTTTGCAGGAAAAACAAAATATAATAAAATAAAGTATTTTTGTTAGAAGTGTCGGATTTTTATAAAAATAAATAAACACACACACACATTTAGATTAATAAATGAATTTTGTCTTATAATAATTTAACTTTCAATAATTATTTACCTAATTTTTTAAACCGCTTGTTGATTTTTAGTGAGATTTTCCTGACTTGTCAGTGCTATGTATTTAGAAACTATATACACTATTGATCTCTGGAAAATTCTATGTAGAATAGATTAGAATATATATGGAAAAATGTTTGTTGTAGAGAATTGGACAATATCATTTCTTACACAGTTAATTCATGGAATAAATTGGTAATTATAATTATAAATCCAAATATACGAAGAAGTAGGTAGTCCGAACACATCTAGGATTTTTTCGAAGGACATGTGATATTGTGGATTTTTTAAAGATATCACTTACCAAAATTAATTGTAATTAAAACCCCAATAATCTTCGAAATTAAAAAAAAAGTATCTGTGGCCTAGGAATGCAAAGAATATCCTATAAAGTATAATCGTTGGCTGATTTAAAAGAAAAAATATTCGAAAGGCCTTAAGCTCTATGAACATAATTTACACAGTGTATAGATTATAAAATATGCAAGTGCCAAACATAAATATATTTTCATAGATATGTGCCCGTAAGTTTTAATGCGTGTGCTAGCTGCTGCGGTGATCAATAATAAGGGCAATACCCAACTGATAATGCACTCAGTAATGGGCAATCAACTAGTTCTAGTGATAAGTGTACAGAATAAGATACCCTAAGATTTCTATGATAGTTCGGCACTTAAGTGAATTTATATTTTCAATAAAATCAGAAGCGATTTAACATCTAATAAGTGTATTTCTCAAACACTCGTTATTAGAAAAAAATCATATGTTTTATTTATAAATGCATTTTAAAGGAATTTGTTTTGAAAAGTATACGTCAGGAAGAAATGTGTACGAAGGATTTTATGATACGATGTATTTTGAAAAATATTTTCAGGAACCTTCGGAACACCTTTAATGGAGATGAAGATTTTTCTAAAACTCAAATATGTCTGAGAAGTTTCTCTATAACTGCAGATTTATAAAAAAAACGTGCAACTTACGGAAGCTTGCCTGATATCCTTGTGTGTGTGTGTGTGTCTCCCCCTTAACAACTAGTAGAGGAAAAATTTAGTTTTTCTTTGGAAAATAGTAATTTTCTAAGATTTTATTTCGAATTATTTAGATAATTTTGAATTTGATTTTGAGAAACATTTAAAAAAAAATTTTAATTTTGAAACAAACCATTACAAAATAAAACAATTTTTATATATTTTTTAATAACTAATAAATTGGAATTATTAAAAAAGACAAAGAATTTGTAAAAATTATAATTATTTTTGAAAAATTTAGGATTTTTTATGTTATAAAAAGGTAATAGAAAATTGTACAATTTTTTTACGCATCATAATGAAATACAACAAATTGAAGCCTACAAAATATGTGTACAACAACAATGAAGTCAAAAATTGTAAAAAAATTGGAAATGTTTTAAAATCGACAGTTTTATATTTTTAAAGAAATTATTTTAATAATTTTTAAACTTTTTTTTTAATATTTCTAATTAGAAAGAATTACTAAATAAAAACACACACACACACTAACAATATTGAAAATTTACACATTTTTAAGAAGTCTTCCATATAAATGATTAATTTTTTGTAATTTTCAATTCGTTCAAAATTTTTAAAATTAAAAAAAAAATCCACAGTATAATTTTGAACAGATTAATTGATGGCAAAAATTTGTGGTGCAGTAGGTCTATTAGTTTCAAAAACCACTGACACGTTTTTATTTACTCTAAATTTGTATTTGCTTTTCAAATATTTTCCAATTGACAGTAAAATTTCCACAAAAAAGAAGAAAGATATAGAAAGTAATTGTATTAAAAAAATCACTGAATTATTGAGAGAAAAAAATGACTCTTGGCTAGCTAACATTTTCGATCGAAAAACACGGACACTTCACTAATTCAGTTTTTGATCTAATTTAAATTATTTTTTTTTTTCAAAATAAAAAATTCGGAAATTTCACATTTATACAGGTTCTGGTTTTTGTTTTAAAACTTTTCATTGCCTGTTAAAAATTTGCAGACGAGAAGTAGCAATATATGCTAAAAAATCCTAATAATAATTTTAGTGGATCACAAAATATACCTAATTAATTAATTATTTTTTTTTTTTTTGAGGATGAAAATTTTGTCACCAAAAATATTGACCAAAAAATAGGCTAATATTCATTTCGGAAACTTTTGATTTAATTTTACTTTCTTTTCAAAAATCTAGGTCACTAATAATATGTAAATTACCTCTAACTTTGCCACAATTTATATTATTTTAATTTTTTTATCTTTTTTTTTTATTTTGAAAATTTCTCTCATATGAAATATGACGCCAGGGAAAACCACTACCAAAAGTATAAAAAAATATAAAGAACATTTGTTGTTACACAGTGGCGTATGCAGAATATTTAAATCAAATATTGTGTATACGCCCTCAGGTGTTATAATATATTTAGGAAATCTAATTTTTAAATAATTCAATTATTTAAAATTTGATTAATGATTTATTTTTAAATTTCATTTAATATTTTTCTTCAAATTTCATTTAAAATTTTGAATAATTATTTTTTTTTTAATTTGTTGTCACAGCCATATTCATCAAAACGATCACTCACATCCAATTTGACTGTGTGCATGATGCGGCACGACTACTATTAACACTAAAACCCAACAACAAAATTTCAACATGATTAATTTCTTTTGATTTTTCCTTTTTTATTTTTTATTTTGCTTTTTTTATTTTCCGTTAATTTTTGTTTTTATTTTTTTCTTCCTTTAATTTAATTTTTTCTTTAAAAATTTTTTATATTTTGAATAATTTTTTTTAATATTATGAATTTATTTTTAATATATTGTTTCGATTATTTTTGGTTTTTTTTTTATATTTTTTTTGATAATTTTTCTTTAATTTTTTAATTTATTTTTTTTCTTGATTTATTTTTGTCTTTTATTTTCCGTTATTATTTTTTCCGATATTTGTTGTTGCTATTTTTTTAATTTAATTTCTATTGTTATTTTTTTAATTTAATTTAATTTCATTTGTAATTTATTTTTATTTTTTGAAAAGTTTAATTTAATTTAGTTTATTTTTGTTTTTTATTTATTTTCAGTGGCTTAGGCTGAGCCCTAAATTGGGGGTTTGCTGCACTATTGATGCTGATCTAGACTTGATTCACAAACTAATAGACCATAATGTTGGGGCAATTATTATATATAGCAAAAATTCTGGTAAGTCTACACAATACACACACATATAAAAGTTGGTATAAATTTTTAAACAAATTCAAAATTTAATAGACCCATTAAGTTCTAGTCCATCCCCTCAACTTCCCACTATACCAGAAAAAAAAACAATAACTGATCCAAATAGGTGAGCATTTAAAACACTAGTAAACGTTGTTGTTTATATTTATCAATACATTCTTGAAAAAAAACAAATCAATTTTCATTTCCCCCTTAAATATGTGTGCATGTGTATTTGTGATCACATTTGATAACAGGGAGAGCATAGCTATGTTCTGAGATGTTAAGTTTCATTAGAATTTATTTCATGTTTAAACTAGTCTAGTCTGTGGGAACACAGGAACTCTTCTCTTCATTTTTTATTTCTCTGAGAATTTTTGTTTTCAAGATTTACAATTAGGAACAGCAGCAACAGAGGCAGCAGCAGCGCAGCAGAGCCAACAACATCACCACAACAATCACTCTCTACTCTCACACACATACACTTTCGAATTCTAAAGAAAAAACAGAACTAGTATCACACCATTTGAACTACCGACCATCCGACCGATCTACTAAACCATGGATCAACAAAAAACGACGTCACACGAAAACACTACCGCTAACCGCAAAAGTCGGAAGTTATCTAAACAGAATTATGACGGCAAGACAACAGAACCCCATTCGAAAGGCAATCAACAAACAGACACCTGTTGAATGCGTTTGCTCACACACACCGACACACACACAACGACTCACACACATAGAGAGGAGCAACAGCAGCAGCAACACAACAAACAACGACGGCAAGTGAAGTTTGTTCTTTACACATCCCTCCAAAAACGATGACTGCACGCAAAAACACACATACACACACTCCCACACAGCAAAGCTTCGCCAAGCTTTGTTGTTGTTATTGTAACTGAAAAAGGGAATTCTTGCTCTCAACAACAATAACTAATGGGTGCAACACAACAGCAGCACACACACAGAATAGAAATAGAATTGAAGAGAACACAAATCATCCATCTCACTCTCTCGCTTCCACACTCATCATAGAAAACAAAAACAAAACAAATCATGTGTTGTCTGCTGCCAATATTCTAGGAAATGTCAGTGAACGCCAAAACGCCATATTTCCAATTGCAAAGATGGTCATGCCGAAAAAAAAAACATTTTAACGGGTTTATTAACTTCTCAAATTTCAATTCCAGCCATACCTCCCCCACCCCACACCATTCCCCTCATTAAAACAAATTTCCTATATACGGGCTAGTTTATATCTCTCTGTGCGGGTGTGTGTGTGTGCTACTGTCTCATCTTCATTTTCAAGCAAGTGCATAAAACACTTGTTGTTATTGTTGTTGCTGTAGCCGTTGTTGTTGTATTGAAGAACCTTATCGGAAATATTGTAAACGTGACAACGATCGTTGACAACAAAACGTCAATTCTCTTACCCAACAACTTCTTGTTTTGACATTGAAGCGTTATTGTTTTCTTGTCGTCATGTTTTTTTGTCTGTTGCCATAGTGCTACACTAACAAAAAGTAAACAAAACAAAACTTGTCATCGGTCGTTGATACTTGTTTTGTTTTGGTTTCGCTTTTTTTGCTTTTTGGTCTAAAATTATGAATGCAGAGAGTCTCAAATAGGGAGATAAAAACCCTAATTAAAATTAATTAATAAAAATATAAAAATTGGCATATTCAGCTAGCTGAATTGTAGAAAAATTATTATATTCATATTGCTGAATTAGGGAAAACATTAAAATTTTCAAAATTCAGCTAGCTGAATTGAGAACTTTTTTCATATTTTTAATATTCAGCTAGCTGAATTAAACAATTTCTTTAAATTCTTAATATTCAGCTAGCTAAATCGAGGAAAATCTTAAAAAATTGTAAGTTCAGCTAGCTGAATTGAGAAAATTCTTCATATTTTTAATATCCAGCCAGCTGAATTGAAGAAAATCTTCAAAATTTACAAATTCAGCTAGCTGAATTGAGAAAATTCTTCATATTCTTAATATTCAGCTAGCTGAATCGAAGAAAATCTTGAAAATTCGGAAATTCAGCTAGCTGAATTGGTAAAATTAGTTGTAAATTTACTATTCAGCTAGCTGAATTGATAAAATTATTCGAAATATGTAAATTCAGCTAGCTGAATTTATATCATATGTTGTAAATTTACCATTCAGCTAGCTGAAGTGATGAAATATTTTGTAAATGTATTATTCAACTAGCTGAATGGAGAAATTTCTTCATAATTTTAATATTCAGCTGGCATAATCGAAATTAAACATATAATTTTGCAAATTTAACTAGCTGAATTAATAAAATATTTGGTAAATTTACCATTCATCTAGCTGAATTGATAAAAAATCGTTACTATTTGTAAATTCAGCTATCTGAATTGATAAAATATATTCCAAATTTACTATTCAGTTAGCTGAATTGATAAAATACACAGTAAATTTACTATTCAGTTAGCTGAATTATGAAATTAGCATTAATATTTGTAAATTCAGCTAGCTGAATTCATGATATATGTTTAAAAATTATTATTCAGTCAACTGAATTCAGAAAATTGTTAATTTGTTAACACTTTGTCCAGCTGAATTGAAGAAAACTTCAAAAATTTGTAAATGAAGCTAGCTGAATTGGTAAAATAAGTTGTAAATTTAATATTCAACTAGCTGAATTGAGGAAAATCGTAATATTTTAACAATTCAGCTAGCTGAATTGATGATAATCTTCAAATGTTCTAAATTCAGCTGGCTGAATTGAATAAAAATCTTAATAGTTTTACAATTAAGCTTGCTGAATTCATAAAATATGTAATAATTTTACTATACTATTTGCTGAATTGAGGAAAATAGATTTTTTTTCAAAATTCAGCAAGCTGAATTGTAGACATTTTGAATTAAAATAGCTGAATTTGATAAAATATATTGTTCATATTTCAGCTAGATGAATAGAAAAAAACAATATAATTTAATAATTTAGTTAGCTGAATTAATAAAAACTGTAACAATTTTACTAATCAACTAGTTGAATTGCTAAAATATGTAATAATTTTACAATTCAGCTAGCTTAATTTGTATAGATACTAATAATTTCACAATTCAGCTAGCTGAATTGATATAAATACTAATTACTTCACAATTAGGCTAGCTGAATTAATAAAAAAGTGTATTATTGCATTATTCCACTTGCTGAATTGAGCTGAATATTATTTTTTGGTAATTCAGCTAGCTGAATTTTCAAAATATTGTATATTTTTTCAATTCAGCTAGCTGAATTCATACAAATCTTAATATTTTTAAAATTAAGCATGGTAAAAATCATACAAATGTTAATTTTTTATAAATATATTTTGCTGAATTAACCAATATCTTAGTATTTTCACAATTCAGCTAGCTGAATTGCGAAAAATTTGAAGCATTTCAGAATTCAGCTAGCTGAATTGGTAACAAATTAATTATTTTTACAATTCAGCTCGGAGTGAATCATCTGATAACCCAACCATACACTTTGGGAACCTCTGTCCTATTGTCACTATTCACAAAAAAAAACTCCACTACTACGTAACAATTCAATTGGCACGTAGTATGCGTGCTACAAAAACGAACGACCTTCACATTGAAGTGAATATGAAATTTTTTGGTGCGGCGTTGTCGCTGAGTGCGGCGGTACTTATTTCTTTTTATATTTGAATAATAATCACCACAAAAAAACTAACAAAAAAAGACAACAACAAAAAACTACAACAAAGAAGTGATATGATCAAAAAAAGTCAATGCACTTTTTTCGTGGTGGTGGTGGGGTATATACCCTACAGGTGGTTATATGGAGTGGAATTTTTTTATTTCTAAAAATGGTTTTATAATGATTTGTTGTAATATAATATTTAGCTGCAATATTTAAAAACAGTAGGGGAGCTTTTCATCGCATTAAAGCTGCTGCTATTCTCTTTTACAATAAAGAGATAAAGAGAAGAGAACGAGGGAGAGTAGCAGGCTATACAATGTAACACAGGTCAAGCCGAAAATACGCCCATTTGGCCCTTAATATGTTAGTTTAGGGGTATGATGTCAATGGAGAAAATATTCTACAGAAAATTTCGCTATTGCTCACCGACCACAAGAAATCGGTAGCAGTTATAGGTATCCGGTAAAAATTAACAAGAACTTTGATATGAAAACCGATCATGTTTTATGGGGTTTAGTTCATACTTTCACCGATCTGAAGGGCTTTTGACCCCTAAGAAACCATTTTAGGGGGATATTGAAGAAAATATTCTACATAAAATTCCACTATAGGTCACCGACCAGAATAAATCGGTAGCTCTACTATATATCCATTAAACATTAAGAAGAACTTTGATATAAAAAACAATTATGGTGTATGGGGTTTATTTCCTACTTTACCCGATATGAAGCTCTTTTGACCCCTTACAAGCCACATTAG